CCGTACGACGTTATTAAGTCTCCTCTGAATTTCATCCCAAAGATGTTCAATCGGGTTTAAGTCCGGACTAAGGGCTAGCCAGGGCATAACGTTGACACCGTTCTGCTGTAGAAAGTCCCAAGTAACACTGGCGGTGTGGACACAGGCGTTGTCATGCTGGAAAACGTTGTTTTGATGACATGTGAAATGTGGTATGACGTAGAGTCGGAGACCTTGATCGATGTAGCGCACTGCTGTGATGCCGCCTCCTCTCCCTGAACCAATATTTTGGAACACCACAGAACCCACTCCCTGGTTCAGGCCGATTCCACCCCAAACCATTATGCTTGGACCTCCCCATGAGTCTCGTTCCATGACACATTGGTCAGAATAACGCTGGCCACGTCAACGACATATTCTGGTCCCGCCATCTGCAGTTGATATGCAATACCAACTCTCATCTGTGAACAGAACAGTTCTCCACTTCCTATGTCGCCAGTTCTGGTGTTATTGGGCAACTGTAGACGTTCACATCCTTGGCGAGGGGTGAGGATCGGTCCACAAGGTCCACGGGAATGGATGGTCTCCCATCGGCGCACGTGTATCGGTACTGGTGGGTCTTCCGTGTGTTCCCACTAGTTGACGTGCTGTCTCGGATGCCTGTGTGAAGGTCTTGTCGCCTTGGTGTACCAGTGCGGGGGCGATCATCCGTGGTGTTGGTGACCCGAAAGCATTGCTGAAGCCTGTAGATGGTCCGTACATTGACCTGGAAGTGATTGGTTCCTCTGAGCTGTCGTGAGTCGAGGCATGCTGCTGGCGTTGTAGTGTGAATGATTCAACCAGGTATGGGGGTGCATTTTATAGGGCTGGTCCCGGTGAACAGCACGTGCAGCATGAGTTACATGAAAATCATTGAGAACACATTACCATCTGAGAAGTCAGCTTGCGTTTTTTAGAACATTTCCGGGGCTAAATTCCGTGTTTGGGACGGAGCCTTATTGCTCAGGTTAAAGGGACAACAACACCCTTGCTGGCTTGATAGCTTCATAAAATAAAAAATAGCCTTATTCTAAGTACTAGATGTGTTAGTGTCCTACCTGTTGTGTAAATTATTCATTAAATCCTATTTTACTTGTCCAAAGGGTTCAAAAATATTTTTAAATCCAAGTCACATTTGAAAAGCTTTACGTAAGGCTTTTCAAATCATTTAGTTGAATTTTTCCAATTTTTTAAATTAGGTGTGTTAAGATGAAATTTGTATCATCAATTAATTGGAATATTGTAAAAATAGTACAATTTGTTGACCAGAATAAAGATTGGGACATATTATTCAGTTACAAGAAGAGTGGTATATTGGATCTTTAAGTTGGAGATGTGGTCACAAATATATACTCAATGACCAAAGAAACACACATGATTTATAACTAATGGCATAGGCGTACGAGCTGGGGGGGGGGGCTGGGGGCGGCCGCCCCCCCCCCCCCATTTTGGGCACCAAATGCTGGGAAAATTTGGGCACACAATTGTACTTTGTAAAATTTGTATAAAAAGAAATATTGTGTTCTTGTATGTGTCCAATTTAACAGCGAATTTATTACTATTATGTAACATACTAAGAACCTAACTACATTTTTTGGGCACCAACCACCACCGCTCCCCCCCCCCCCCCAGTCAAAAATTTCCCAGTACGCCTATGACTAATGGAACGTGTGTAGTTTTGTTTTCAATGTGATAATTTTGTACCCACATGGTCGGGTAAATGTAATATGGGAAGTATAGGTCATTTTTTTTTTGGGGGGGGGGGCGAAAAACATAACTTCCGGGATGATGGATTACAACTGATTTTCTGTTGATTATCCATGTTACGTACATCTGCGCGATTTTTTGTGAACACTAAAAGCACGTGTATATCTGGTTACCTATGGGTATTAAACGCCTGTAAAAATTTTCAATACATCACTTCACGTAACGACGTTTTAAGGATGGCTAGACTGCCACGTCAGCAGCGGGAACAGATTATAGGAAGAATCCAGACTGGACAGACCGCTAGAGCAGAAGCCCAGGGGGTCAACCTAGCTGAAAAGTGTACCAATTTTCTCCTATATGGTATCAATGTATGTATATCTGGTATCATCAGAATGTAAGTCTGCCGGGTTTCTGGTGGTGGGTGTGGTATTCCACGCCCAAAATGCCATGCCCCCCAACTAGTCTAGATTAGCTCAAAAGTGTACCACATGAAAATCGCACAGCAATGTACCGTATATCTTCAGGTATTTTAAAAACACTCTGACAGACATTTTTACTTATGGGGTACCCCTGACAGAGCTATGTAATTGCCAGACATTTGTATTGATGGAGTATCCCTGACTAGAGTTATCTAATTTCCAGACCAAAGCTAGGCTAGATTAGCTCAAATCTGTACCACCTAAAACAGCTTTGGAGTTGTTCAGTACCACCACAGGAATCATGAATGACCACTGCCAGACAGTTTGTGCGGTGGGATGCCCCTAACAGACACGCCCAAAATAACACGACTCCCAACTAGGATAGATTAGTCGGCACTGTTCCTGTGGTCCAAAAAATTAAAAATTATGCCAGGATGCGTAGAAAACTAATACCTAGCACATATGGAAGAGGCGATAAACTGTGGTCGTAGGAACAATTTTATTTTTCAAAAACGCATTTTTAGACCCATAAAATGTTTTTTGCCCAAAAATCAATTTCTTGCAATCGCAGTTTATCGCCTCTTCCATACGTGCTAGGTATTAGTATCCTACGCATCCAGGCTAAAAATCTAATTTTTTAGAACACGGGAACAGTGCCTGCGAAGCTAGCCTAGTTGGGGGCGTGGCATTTTGGGGCGTGTCTGTTACCCACCGCACAAACTGTCTGGCAGTGGCCATTCATGACTCCTGTGGTGGTACTGAACAACTCCAAAGCTGTTTTAGGTGGAACAGATTTCAGCTTATCTAGCCTAGCTTTGGTCTACATATTAGATAACTCTTGTCAGGAATACTCCACCACTACAAATGTCTGGCAATTACATAGCTCTGTTAGGTGTAACCCACCACTAGAAATGTCTGTCAGAGAGTTTTTGTAATATTTGAAGATGTACGGTACACTGCAGTAAGATTTTCGCGTGGTACACTTTTGAGCTAATCTAGCCTAGTTGGGGATCATGGCATTTAGGGCGTGCAATACCACACCCACCACCAGAAACCCGGCAGACTTACATTCTGATGATACCAGATATTCATACTTTGATACCATATAGGGGAAAATTGGTACACTTTTCAGCTAGGTTGAACCCCTGGGCTCCCGGTCTACGCACGGGTAATTGCTGAATACTTTAACGTCTATATTGGCCCTATCCACCGTCTGCTGAACCGATTCAACCTGATGAACTTAACTGATGATAGGCGGCGTAGCGGTAGGCCGAGAGTGGTTTCGAATACTCGGTTGTACGTGACAAGGAGTAGGATCGCCTGTCAAACCTCATGGGTTTTCTCCGGGTCCTCCGGTTTCCTACCACTGCTAATGACCCATACGCACAAGCGAATTACTAAAATAAAATTGAACCACGTGATAGTCCCGAAAAAGACCTAGTTTGTGTCGAGTGGACGTTAAACCCAATTTCTCTCTCTCTTGTCTTCTAAAATATCAATCTAATTAAAATATAGATTTTTTTTTTTTAAACAATATTTTATTCAGAAAATTTTGGATTGGGGAACAGGCTTAGCCTATGGACCCCCTCTCCATATAGATCTATATTTCGTTTCGTTTTTTATATACTTTCGATGGCCTACACTACATGTAGATCTAACAAGTTATAGCGAGAGTTCACGTTCTATGACATCAGGTACCAACTTTTGCTTTGTTTTGATTTCTATCGCTGGTTATGTCTACACACAGTTCCACGCAAAAAAAGGTCAAAACATCGATTGACAGACCATTTGATTGGCTGACCCCTCATTTCAAGCAGAACACGAGTTAAATAACAAGTCTTCCAGATCCAAGAGCAATCTCCCAAACAGAGTTATCTTCCCTTGCAGTTCACAGTTCGAACGCTGGATAGCGAGACTTGTGTGGAGAATGATCCAAGAGTAGTAAAGACAAGTAAAAACGAAATTTTGAACTATAAAAAACGAAACTAAATTGGATCTGTGTTTTAATCAGATTGCCAAAATATTGGCCCTGGTCGCGGAAATAGTGTCACTGCGCAGGTTTACATCAACCAAGTCATTCAACCCTATTTGGTACCATTTTTTAGAAGGCAACAACAACGCATAATGCAGCAGGATAATTCAAGACCCCATGCTGCCAAGGCAACACAAGTCTTTTTGGCATTGATCAACATCAATATGTTACCATGACCACCAATGAGTCCAGATATTCACCCCATAGAACACCTTTGGGACGAGCTTAAAGGGAGGATCGACCAAATGATTCCCAGGCAACAGACAGCTGTACAACGTACAGAAGAAGTTCGAGGAACCATGGTCCGATTACCCAGAGCTGTTATAAACCGACTTAAATAAGTCCATGTATCGCCAGTGCGTAGCTGTTGTTAATGTTAATGGAGGACATACACCCTACTTGGTCTCAGCCTCGTTTTGATTGTAAAGATGCGTCATCTTAATGTTGTAAATAAATTTCTAAACTACTTTCTTCTTAATACCCATTTGAAAAAAAAGAATTGTCCCACTATCCCAACCCTTACCCGTTCCACGGCTTTTTTAAATTTAACCTTCTGAAATTTTTATTTAGATATGCGTTTCGTTTGTCGTTGTCGTTAGTATATTATAAGGGTGGGGCCTACTTTGCCAGGTGAAACTAAAGGCACCCAATCATAGCTAAAATTAAAACAAGCGCATCAGTATATCTCAACGTTTTTAGCTACGTTCTCGTAGCTAAAAGAACTAATACCAAAGTATGTGCATCATACAGAATTTTAAATTCACGTTACAAAACTGACTTGACGTAATCTTGGAAATAGAAACATATATTATACAAATACATACCATTTGCAACTTCTTGCTCCAAATTATTTTCTTCGTCATATCGCAGATTGTGATAGTTGGTTAGTGCTAGGGGTGCATAAATCCTATTTATTACACCCCAAAGTCGACACAATAGATCCCATAAACCCATCTTTCTGGTGGTAATTGTTGTTTCCTTTAGCCTACTTGTTTGACGTCTGACCAACTTTCTGGTTGCCAATGATTCTTCAGTAGTGTGTCAAGATTTTACTGGTTTGGGAAGAAGAATAAAGTAGATCTATTATAACTTCTTACCACAAGTGAATGATGTTCGACTGTCTTCTACAGTGATAATTAATTCATTTAAACCTAATAGAACTAGAATACTAACGGAAACGCCCACTCGGTGACGTATAATGGTAATGACATTATGTTGTACATCGCATGCGCGATGTGGAATATCAAGAACTTGACGATGTAAGTTATTTCATAGTTTTGTGACCAGGGGGAATCAACAATAAACGTGCTGTAGTTCTTGTCAATGATATGCTTTAATTTTCACATAATTAATCATAATGGAAAAAAGAGTGGTGGAAATAACCCTCTGACTGGGCGTTCAAAAACTGTTGCTATGGTAACAACCCTCTGACTGGGCGTCCAAAAACTGTTGCTATAAGTTTGTTTGATAATAAAATGGCAGACACACGAAAGTGAGGCAACATGTGACAATCGACTGGACCAAGCAAGACTATTATTTTGTGACTTTATCAATTTTAATGAATTTTATTTAAATTAGTTATATACTAAACAGCAAAAAAAAAGCGTCAGTACGATTTCAAAATCAGAGAGGCACTTTTTAATGTGGTATGACGTGGAGTCGGAGAGCTTGATCGATGTAGCGCACTGCTGTGATGCCGCCTCCTTTCCCTGGACCAATTGTTTGGAACACCACAGGACCCACTCCCTGGTTCAGGCCGATTCCACTACAAACCATTATGCTTGGACTTCCCCATGAGTCTCGTTCCATGACACATTGGTCAGAATAACGCTGGCCACCTCGGCGACATATTCTGGTCCCGCCATCTACAGTTGATATGCAATACCAACTCTCACCTGTGAACAGAACAGTTCCCCACTTCCTATGTCTCCAGCACTTTAATCAAATAAGAAAACGATCAAAGCATGTTTTTGTGAACAGTATGTTGAGAAATTAGAGATTAATTCATAACAGCAGCGCAGCGTCTGTACGTGCAGTGGACCAGACGATTGATGAACGCCATTGGCGCCTGGAACCACACTCGGTAAAGCCTGGCGTTATTAAAACCTTGACGTTATTAAGTCTCCTCTGAATTTCACCCCAAAGATGTTCAATCGGGTTTAAGTCCGGACTAAGGGCTGGCCGGTGCATAACGTTGACATCGTTCTGCTGTAGAAAGTCGATCCCGAGTAACTCTGGTGGTGTGGGTACAGGCGTTATCATGCTGGTAATTAACGGTAATAAATTTTATGGGGGGTAGGGATAGCCTTTTGGTTCTTGTTCTTAGAAGCTGAAAAAACTTGAAAATAATTTACTATCATCTAAAATTGGAATGGGTGACCAGTGCATATTTTTGGTCAGAACTTCTTAATTTGCATAATATATGACATTATTGTGATGTAATAGTGACGTCATTGATTTTATTTTGTCATAAGAGTACCAATTAAAGGCTAAAATGTCAATTAAACACAGATTTTGAGTTTCAAAAATCTATTTCATCGGATTGATATATTTATTATATTCAGACAGGAATAACATATGGTTTATCCCATATAAAGAGTCCACCAAGGAACTTAAAATTCATAGTGTTTTTGTTATTTTACAAAATTCTAAATTTTAACCACTAAATAGATTTTAAACAGTATCATTTGATATAGGCTAATGTCCTTGTAGCACCCGGCATAACATTTACAGTGTCTGTAAATGGAAAGCCGTTAAATAAAGTCTCAACGAAGAGTGTGGCCTGACACGTTAATGATTTGTTCTTCTCGGAGTACGGTCTCAGTCTAGGGAAAGGGGCCGTCCCCATCGGCGTATCTTCGGATTTGAATTCACTTGGATTAAGGCCTCAGTAAGAGCAGTAAACAAGGATATTATATAACAAGTATTTATGGGATGAGAATTTATTTCAGTAACCAACATATTTGTGCTTAAAAGTTTGTTAACAAGCAATTAATGAACGAGGAAGGAAGGGGGTCTTAATCAGATGTAACAAGTCATGAGTATCTTGTACGAGCTAAATCTGCCTTTCCGACTTCAATTTTATTAGAATTAATATTTAGATATTTATTCACATGACATAATTAATCCCCTAGCACATCGGATGGCCGGGATTTAAATGAATTCGAACTCCCCCGAGATTTAAAAAAAATATATATAAAATGGATAATCGAGACGATAATAAACGTATACGTTACGTTTTCAAACACTCATAATCTTACATAATGCATATTTAATTTTAAGTCATGAATCAACGTGTAATTATATATAATGTCCATTGAGTTTAAAATGACAAGTGTTGAAGTTACCACACACAAGCAGAGTATGCTCTTCTCAGCTGTAGTCACGAGGGGCGCGTCTCTCGAGGCGTTTTTCCATGTTTTCGGACTGTCTGTTTAGGTTGGCGCTAGGGCGAACGTAGCTATGGGCCGAGGAACGGGCCCATTCTACCCCCCCCCCCCACCACACACACCGCGGCTGACTTGACTGCCCTTCGAGGGCTTAACAGTACAAGTGTGGTGGCTATGTTTTTATCGGTGGGGCGGTAGGAATTGCAGAAAAGTTCAGTGGGTGAATCTAACGTGACCGCGTATCACAGGGAAAAAATATTCGCAGATTCCTTCTCAAATAAAACCGTCTTTGTCTGGTGTGTTAATGTGGGAGACGTCGTCTGTTGGAAGAAGAGTGGCTGCCAATGTGTCCATTATAAGAACTGCTAAATTTCTTACAGAGAACATTATACCATAGGTTAATTCAAGACTCTCTCCGCAAGTGGGGCTAAGCTATTAACATATTTTTTTAAAATTTTGTGCGTTTTCCAATTCGGTAGAAAGCACTTGTGTTGTCACAACCAGAAAACGCATGCACTACAGGTAAACAAAGGCTGACGATTTTTTTTTTCTTTTCTAAACAATATTTTTTATTCATTAAATCTGAATTTGGATTGGGGAACAGGCTATGCCTATGTGTAACCCCTCTCTCCGATTTAGATACATGTACATTATAAAAATATATACATACATACATAATTACATAAATAAAATATAGAACATATAGGATACATCATGGATAATATAGAGACTCTAACAAAATATTACTTTAATTCATAACAAGGGATTAGATTTTATTCTTAGATTTGTTTACCACTGCTAAAGGTAGCTGTGACAGTTTGTGAATGTTATGTAGACTTTTGGTTAGGTCTTATGTCTGAAGCCAATTCTTGGCAATGGCTTCAGAAGCCCCACTCAATTTAATTGTTATTTCTTCGTTAAGTTAAAAATCTTCGTTAAAAAACAAACGCGTCTGCCTTTTATCGTGCGTTACTATTTCCGTTCAATCGGACACACGCGGAAATAACGAATAAAGTCGATTAAATAGATACACGCGATATAAACAATAATATTTTACGGGAATTCCTACTCAATTTACAATGCTTTTACACATATTTATTTTTATATATTTTATTTACAATACGTGGGGGATACACTGGATTTATTTTTTTCAAATTGAATACTGATAAATTGACATGTCTTGCAACATGAGTGGTACTACTTGATTCCCTATTTCCGAATCTTGCGGGATTAACTAATTATTCCGCTCGAGGTAAGCATTCGCATTTCAAGGGGAGACTTTGTCTCTGGTGGCTTGCAAGTCTCGCAGTAGTAATCACTCATTCCGCTCGAGGCAAGCAAGATCTCCGGAGTAGCGTTTCGTCTCTCTTTGGTAACGTGCAAGTCCTACAGGAATAATTCATTACGCCGCTTAGGACAAGCACGGGCGAAGGCGGGCGTTTCTAAATATAGGGGGATTGTTTGTTTGAGTTGGGTTCCGTTTGGGTAATATAAGATTTGGTGCTTTACATTGTACGAATTGTTAGTTCGGACTGAGGCAGGCATAAAGCTAAGGTGTTTATATTTTATTGTAAAGTTATGAGTTTCTAATTAATTTGCGGGTTCCGTTTGGGTTATATAAGATTTAGTGCTTCTTTTGTACGAATTATTAGTTCGGGCTGAGGCAGGCGTAAAGCCATGGCGTAGGCCTATGTATGTTTTATTGTAAAGTTATGAGTTTCTAATTAATTAGAAAGTTCCGTTTGGGTGATATAAGTTTGGTGCATCACTTTGTACGAATATTGTTAGCTGGATATTGTCTGTATTTTAAGTTTTTAAACTCAAAATGTCTCTTGCAAGACATTGTGTAATATACAGTTGCACTCGCACTCATACAATATCAATATATTACTTAAGGTCTCGCACTCGACCATTAAACTACACTTAATCCACGCGGGAAGCCTGACATCCTGTATACGAACCTGGGACTTCCGGTTGCATGAGAGCCAGCTAGATACTGCCGACGCTCAAGTGTATTCGGGAACGATCACACGTCCTGTTACAGTTGTGTGAAATTATCTGTATAATCTTTGCTTTTGTTTCCTTCATTGTGTGAGATACTTGCAGTAAATAAAATACTTGACATTAATTTGATTAATGTCATTGATCACAGTTTAACTCTATAAATTCTCATTTGTTCGCGTGGCCGGGGTTGGATGGCCGAATGGTTAGCACGTTCGAGCTGTATCATTAAGGCCTGTCATTGAGTCAACTGGCGTGGTTTCGAATCCCCGGTTGTACGTGACAAGAAGTAGGAACACCTGTCCAACCTCGTGGGTTTTCTCCCTGCCCTGATCCGGTTTCCTCCCACTGCTAAAGACCCCGACGGAAAGCGATATTTTTGAAATAAAATTAAACCATATGTTAGTCCCGAAATGACCTAGTTTGTGTCGAGTGGACGTTAAACCCCATTTCTCTCTCTCTCTCTCATTCAACCCTAAATCTATGTGGAGTCAATTGAAAGAAATAAATCAAAATGGATTGAGAAATCTATATTTTAATCAAATTCGTACCACATGATTATATTCTATCACTTTTGCTGGTTTATATGGCAACTATATATTATTGCTAAGCTATATTTGAATTGTAAATTACATTTACAAATATGTAAATATTGATATCTTGAATTATATATTTTCAATCAAATCTGAATATGCAATTTACTCTGTAGCCATTTATGTGAAATAAACTATTATTATTGCTATTTGATTTCTCTGTTAATCTGTCGACAACTTAAACAAATTTCTTTTTGAGTGTCCTCAACAAAACTATTACATACAGAGAGAAAGGAGGGTTAAAGTCCACTCGACACAAACTAGGTCATTTCGGGACTAACACATGCTTCAATTTTATTTCAAAAATTTGCTTGCGCGTAAGGGTCTTTTGCAGTTGAAGGAAACCGGAGAAAACCCACGAGGTTGGACAGGCGACCCAATTCCTTGTCATGTACAACCGGGGAATCGAAACCACGCTAGTTGACTCAATGACAGGCTTTATGGTGCAGTGCAAACCATTCGACCATCCAACCCCCCTTATTACCTACAGAAGCACATATTTAATTGGTTAATTGGCATTGCATATGTCAGTGTAGGCTACAACTGTCTGTAGACCTATGATGGCTATGTATACTGATGTCCAAAAGAAAGTATACACACTAAAAGTTTTGTTTAGATTAAAAACATTTAATAAAGCATTACTGAGTTTGTCTCGTGCGTCCAAATTCAACATTTCTAAGCAAAATAAAAATGTGAAACAAATTGACATTCTACCCACAGAGTTTTTACTCTGTGTTCTACCCAAATACCGTATACCATGGAAAAACGACTTTGGTTGATGCAGCACAAAATGCACAGTGTATACTTTCTTTTGGACATTAGTATATAATAGTATAGTTAAATTAGTTTATCTAAACTAAATCAAATCAAATCAATGTGCTGTGTAAAATGTAATGTAGGGAGAGACTAGATGAAAATTGGGTTAACGTCCACTCGACACAAACTAAATGCAGGATGGACAGCCAGTGTGAGCCAGTCTGACAAAGGAAAACCTGGGCCCTTATTCACGAAAACTTAAACTAAGTTACAACCAAAATTTTAAGAAATACTGCAACTTCATTGGATATATGCAAATTGAGTTTACTGGTCAGCCAATCGAATTGCAGTATTTCTGATAATTTCGATTGTATCTTAGTTTAAGTTTTCGTGAATAAGGGCCCTGGGCCGTAACTAGCTCAGAGCAACGAAGGGGGGGGGGCGGCGGGAAGTGTTCTCGGGGGTGCTGTAATATTGACGGACAATGTATATCTATTCTTTTTTATGATCGAACATTTTTTTACAGGAGGGGCAAAGCCTGCCCCCTAGTTACGGGCCTGAGGACAACGTAGCTTATAGTTGTTCGGATGGGACGTAAAGCTGAGGTCCCGCGTATCTGTATATATACAGCGTAGGGTCAATTCTCCATTGTATATATTGACATTATTATTATTATTAAAACAATATACAGCGCTCAAGAACAGAACCCCGAAGTACTCCGTATAAGATGTCATTGTTAAAATTTTGATTGTATCTTAGTTTAAGTTTTCGTGAATAAGGGCCCAGTATATTTAAAATAACCAATGTTTACGACTGATGGAATAACAAACTTCACAAATAATATGGTATTATGATACTGTTGATCCTGTGTCATGTGTTTAGATCCAGGAATGAAATGAGGTATAACGTCCTACTGTTCTGCACTGACTGGGCTAATGAAGACGGACATATGCCATACAGTGTGTTATGAAGGAAATTTGGCCATGACAGGGGAACCTTAACTGTTCTTAATTGGAATTTTAACTATCAAGGATTCTTTTACATGCATACCAATGTGTACCCAGGATCTCGGCTTTTCGTTCCACTGACAAGAGGGGGGACCACGCCAGGAATTCCTGATGAACTTTCTCAGCCAACATGGGGATCAAACACGGGACTGCAGGTTAGCGAGCCAACATCTTACTCACTGAGTCACCGTGGCTAACAAGGACACTGCAATCCATGCAGAAAATAAACAAATGTAATATAGCTTTAATATATAATTTAATCAGATACAAACAACATATAACATTTTCTCGAGAACAATATATTAGAACATTTTATGTTTTCCTACAAGTTATATGATCATTATAACATTTTCTCGAGAACCATATATTAGAACATGTTATGTTTTCCTACAAGTTATATGATCATTATAACATTTTCTCGAGAATAATATATTAGAACATGTTATGTTTTCCTGCGAGTTATATGATCATTATAACATTTCTCGAGAATAATATATTAGAACATTTTATATTTTCCTACAAGTTATATGATCATTATAACATTTCTCGAGAACCATATATTAGAACATTTTATGTTTTTCTACGAGTTATATGATCATAAATAACTATCTGTATATAACGAGGTGTCTCTATAATTGTTCTCGTAGAATTATCACCAGGACTCGAGGCCTACAACAAAAAAAAAAAAAACTTTAATGATACATTATGTAAGATTTAGATAAAGAGCTGGTCGTTCTTTCTATAATATTTAAAGATAGGTTCCCAGAAAAGTATTTATTGGGTGGTTATTTCCAATAAAAGTATGGCAATTTTGGTATATATGGAAAGTAGAGAGATTCATTCTTACTAGAAAAATACTGGACTCCCTGAAAAACACTCATGGAGCTTATACAGGACAAAAATGTAAAGGTTCCCCTAATCAACAGCCCGATGATTAGCAATGTCTGCACGCGTGAAGTCAAAGGTTGCACGCGAAGATTGAGCACTTGGTGTACATGTTGATAAACTTTATGAAGAGTTAGACATACAACACTTGCAGTGGATAATCGGGAATTTTATTAGGATTCGATATTTGTAATAAATAGAAAGCGATTAAAGACAACATTGTCTTGTGTATGCAATGAATTCTCCTCCAACCTCGCAGGGGTTGCTATAGGTACCGAGGGAGGTAAGTCACGTGACACAAACATGACTTCTTTTGGGTATTCCTTGTCAACTACAATGTTTTGACAAGGATTTGAAGCAAAATTATGATAAATTAATTAGTTTGAATATGTTTTAGTCAAAATATATCATCAAATCACCCAGTTTGTATGAGGGAATGTGTCTTTAAGAGAAAATAATGCAAAATGAATATATTGAAAATTGCATTCAAATAAGGCCTACTTTGTGAAATTATTACTGTTTGAAGTTTTGACAAGATGTGGCATAGATTGTTTATGATTGTAACACTTGCTCTTCAAGACTTGGCCTTGCTTCGCCATTTCTAATTAAATCATTAAATGGCAACCATCTTTTAATCCATTTAAATATCGGTCATCCGATAGTCTAGAGAGTTGATTATAGGCTTGGCATGTGAATAGATGTCTAAATAATCATTTATCTAACATTTGAAGCCAAAATAAAGAACTGCAATAGGAAGATTTAGCTCTTATATAATGCATCTTTAATCTTCTAGGGGACATAAAACTATAAATCTAATGGTATTGGGTTTTAAGGTCAAATTCTTTGAAATTCTAATTTCATGAAACATGCTCCATTTGCTCAATGTCACTACCAGTAAGTCAAGACTAGCAGATGTTATTGAAACGCAAGCCCTCTTTCAAATCCACACAAAACCTCAGTGAAGTTTCCTTTTACATTAAACATGCCTAACTTTCAGTCAAGGGATCTTTTACGTGCACGCCAATGTGTAAACAAGACCTCAGTATTTCGTCCCATCCGAATGACTAGACAGCTGTCCATGTCAGGCCCTCCATCCTGCATCACTGACAAGGGGGAACCACGCCGAAAAATCGGGATGAACTTTCTCGGCCAATGCAAGGATCGAATACCTGACCTCCAGGATAGCGAGCCAGTGTCTTACCCACTTAGCCACTGTAACCCCATTTCATTAAATAAGACTATCATTTTCAGATTTCCCTTGGGTTTATTTGAAAGACTTATCAGCCATTATCTTGTGAATTCGATGAAGAAGAAATCAAATTAGAAATATTGAGGTTGCAAATTAGGAAAAATTATTTATCAAATTGGGTTTTTCTTATATACGTCTAAAATATTTTCACTTACTTTAGGGTCAACATTGATGATTTTTCTGTCTCTTTTATTCTTAAACAGAAGACCGGATGCATTTTCAGCAATAACTTGATAATTTGATGTTGGATTTGATGTGGATGTCTGAGTTTCCCAGTTATAAAAACTAAAAATATAAAAAGAAGGATTAAGGCCATGATGATATAACCTTTTAAATCTCCTGAATTTAACTTCTTCGTTAAGCTCACCCAAATAAAATGAAATGGCATTTAAACTTCCTACTTTTCTGCATCGACTAGGCTAATCATCATTTTTTTAAATGGTGAAATTGTGCCCTATTGGTGCTGACTTGGCAATAAACACCATTTCATTCATTTATAGATAGAGAGAAAGAGAAATGGGATGTTCGTTCGCTTGACAGAAACTAGGTCATTTCGGGACTAACACATGCTTCAATTTTATTTTAACAATTCCCGTGTGCGTAGGGGTCTTTAGCAGTGGGAGGAAACCGGAGGACCCAGAGAAAACCCACGAGGTTGGACAGGCATACAACCGGGGAATCGAAACCACGTCAGATGACCTTATAGTAAGTGCAGGGGGACTGCACCACACAAAATTTACACAAAGACAAATACACGGACAAGACATCATACTCAGGAAAACACAAACAAACAGACAATTCAAAAAAAGTGAATGGATACGGGGGCTAGCTGTAAGCGTCCACTGCGCTGTACAGTCCCGGGTCTGTAGTGACACAGACTTCACTCAAATTTGAAAACAATTTGGAATACAACCCAAAGAACCCATTGTGTAATACCAGCATGAGTAATGATCTGCTATATGCTACACGAAATACGAATGTAAGCATATGTAGTAAAATTCAACTATACAAAACTGAATACAGAGAAGCAAATAGAAAATGTAGACTGTCTCGAGGGACAGCCGTCTGCTGACTGAGAATGACATCATATCTTAGAAAGTGATAAAAAATCACAATAATAAGGGAGATAATCCAGATAAAATAACGTTAAAAGCTTAAAAAAACATAAGTTCTAGCGACTAATCGGAATTATTAAGTTATGTAATTGTACAATATATAATAATATATTAATATAATACCCCACACAAGAAATGTAAAACAGGTATGTTGAAGAAATAGTGGCACATGCTAACCATTTGGCCATCCAACCCCCATTCATTCTTTTATAAAGTCTCATCAACACACTAGGTTGTTCAATATGAGACTAACATAGATAAATTTTCAGTTATATGGTTGTGAGAGAGAGAGAGAGAGAAATGGGGTTTAACGTCCACTCGACACAAACTAGGTCATTTCGGGATTAACATATGGTTTAATTTTATTTACATAATTCGCTTGCGCGTAGGGGTCTTTAGTAGGGGGAGGAAACCGGAGGACCCGGAGAAAACCCACGAGGTTGGACAGGCGACCCTACTCCTTGCCACGTACAACCGGGGATTCGAAACCACGCCAGTTGACTCAATGACAGACTTTATGATACAGCGTGCGCACGCTAACCATTCAGCCATCTAAACCCCCTATATGGTTGTGTGAGGGGAATAATTTTGCTCATTCAGTGGCATTTAATTCCATCTACCAAGGGTTATTTTAAATGTGCGCCAATCCAAGGGTAGACATCGGATTTGCATAACATCGAAAGTACCAGACACACATTCTATGTCAGCCCCTCAAGTGAGAAACGGGCTTGAAAATTCCTAAATGTTCATCTCAGTCAAAGTTGGGATTCAAACTTGTAATTTGTTAGTAAAAGTCATTTTTTTACAAAGTTAAGATGAATTGAAATTTTACTGATCTTTGTTGCTCAAGCGCAACAAGATGCAGCTATCTTTTATTGCTAGTGGAGAAACCTGATCCTATTGAATTCAATCTCTGAGATGATTAACTAGCGTTGATATTTTGATTTTTTCTTAAAGATGCAGTATGTGAGATGGTCAATATAATAGTTTAAAAATGTTTATTATCACAGCAACGGTACTTGGCAACCCAGACTAAGTCTCCATTATCCATTTTATCTTTATTTCCATTTAAATCTCCTCCATTCGATGGGGGGGATGGGGGGGCACGGTGGATGAGTGGTTAAGTTGTGAGAACTTTAATATTTTAGCGAAAATGCAAATGGCATGTCAAGCCTTTAACAGTGACTTTACTTTACCTTAAATCTGATGGACGGGGTAATAAACGCTTTCTTCCACCAAAATATGGTTCAAAATCTTCAGTCTTTAACCGGTGTGCGAAGTCAATATAACCAGAAATTTCCTGACCTCTTGAGTTTCGATCTCTAATAAAAACAATTGTCTGAAATACATAATAGATGTAAATATTAAATATTCTGATCTTTTAGAGGTATTTAGTAACTGGATAGAGCAATAAACTATAACACATACTTATGGAAGAACAATTAGTGATTTATTAAGGCGACGTTTCGAAGAGTATTCTCTCAACGTTGCTTGAGAGACACAATATTCAAGGGGTCATGCTAATAGAAAAAACTGGACATCACTTGTTTTCATGATTTTTATATCTGAAATACGATCATCCACATTTTGGTACAAATGGTACTTACTGTCATTTTTCCACTTCTGTTGGCCTCTTCTCTCTGAGCTAGACATTTTAAGAATGGGTCTTTCAATTCTTTTCCTGAACTGGCTAATGTTCTATCAGATAAAAAAGAGATATAACATGAGCAAGTTTTCGTGGCTATATAGATCTATGTTTGAAGCAGCTCATTAAATTGTGTTTGTAAATTTGGTACTGTATTTATGCTCAAAATAATATTGACCAGAAATAATAATATTGACTAGAAAGTGTTAAGTGAATACTCCACAGAGGTATTTCCAACATTTTATGCATGTTTATTTACATTTAAAAGGTGATAAACTGAAAGTATTGACATTTTATAAAATATTGCGATATAGTGATTGTATCGCGATATTTTCAAAAAATATCGGGATATTTGTTTCCAGGGATATCGCCCAGCTCTACTTCAAGAATAGGAAAACACACATTTCTGCAACAGATAAGTGAACTATCCAGACAAACATGAGGTACAATGTATTTTCTGCTATCATTTTGAAGAGAGAGAGAGAGACAGAGAGAGAGACAGAGAGAGAGAGACAGAGAGAGAGCATCCAAATTAGCTAATTAAGAGAAAGAGAGATGGGGTTTAAGGTCCACTCCATACAAACTAGGTCATTTAGGAACTAACATGGTTCAATTTTATTTCATTTATTCGCTTGTGCATAGGGGTCTTTAGCAGTGGGAGGAAACCCATGAGGTTGGATAGCCAACTCTACTCCTTGTCGATACAACCAGGGAATCAACACCAAGTCAGTTGATTCAATGACAGACCTTCATGATGCAATGCGCTCGCACTAACCATTCGGCCACACTGCCCCCCCCCCCCATTTTGAATAGGGAGAGAGAGAAATGGGGTTTAACGTCCATTAGACACAAACTAGGTCATTTCGGAACTAACACATGGTTCAATTTTATTTCACAAATTCGCTGGCGCGTAGGGGTCTTTAGCAGTGGAGGGGAAACTGGAGAAAACCCAAGACATTTGACAGGCGACCCTACTCCTTCTCGCGTACAACCAGCTGGAATCAAAACCACACCAGTTGACTCATTCCCCCCCCCCCCTTATTTTAAAGTATAGGCATTTTTTTTTTATGATAACCCTAGGGCCATTATTGAATCATTAAAAGTAAACTGGAGCCTGGAGGGTACTTTTGTTAAGGGACATGCATTAACTGTTGAAATTATGGTATCATTTCTCGTACTAGTCGTACCTCAAATTATGCAATAATAAACAAGAGCATCGCTAACGCAGCAATATACGTCCACATTCCTGTTTTGTTTGATATGGTCCAGTTTGCATTGAGGGTCTGTGAAATAAAACTGGGTTGTAGGACTGCTATCAGTTTAACGTTTCGTTCACATTAACAGAACACAATTTTTATTTTAAAACAATCGATGTCTTTATTCTAAAAGCATGACGTTTAGAATAGGTATCCCCATTTCAAAAGGATCGGTTAAGAATTGCGGCCTGTAGGCAAAACACAAGACACACAAACATTAGGCGTGACTCTGTCCCAAGGGGTTGAGCATGCACCAAAAATAATAATAGAGGCCAGCCTTAGGATTAAGGAATAAGTGTAAAAACGTAGCCTTAGGCTATAAGGAATAAGTCTAAAAAAAATTTCAAGATGATCGATTAAGAAATGCGGTCTGCAAGTGACACACAGACATAAAAAAAGAAAATGGGCGTAGCTCTGCCCCTGGGGGTTGGGTATTCACCACAACTAATAGGGATGTTCCTTAGGATAGAAGGAATATGTATGCTAAGTTTCAAGGTGATACGATAAGAAATGCGATCTGTAGATGACAAACAAATAAATAAATATAAGGGATGGGCGTGGCTCTACCCCTGGTGGTCGGGCATGCACCAAAAACAATAGGGATCATACTTAGGGTATAAGCAATTCATATGAAAAATTTTCAAGACGATTGATTAAGAATTGTGGCCTGTAGGTGACACACAGACATAAAAAGAAAAGAAAATGGGCGTGGCTCTGCCCCTGGGGGTAAAAAAACAATAGGGGTCATCGTTAGGGTATAAGCAATTCATATGAAAAAATTTCAAGACAATTGATTAAGAATTGTGGTCTGTAGGCGACACACACACATAGAAAAAGAAAATGGGCGTGGCTTTGCCCCTGGGGGGTGGGCATGCACCCAAAACGATAGGGATGTTCCTGGGGGTACAAAGAATAAGTATGCAAAGTTTCAAGATGATACGTTAAGAAATGCGGCCTGTAGACGACAAACAAACAAATACAAAAATGGGCGTGGCTCTGCCCCGGGGAGGCGAGCATGCACTAAAAACAATAGGGATCATCCTTAGGGTATAAGGAATAAATATGTAAAGTTGATACGTTAAGAAATGCGGTCTGTAGATGACAAACAAATAAATAAATATAAGGAATGGGCGTGGCTCTGCCCCTGGGGGTCGGGCATGCACCAAAAACAATAGGGATCTTCCTTGGGGTATAAGGAATAAGTATACCAAGTTTGAAGAAAATCCAGTAAGAATTGCGCCCTGTAGGCGACACAAAGACACACGAAAAGAAAATGGGAAATGGGCGTGGCTCTGCCCCTGGGGGTTGGGCATGTACCCCAAACGATAGGGATGTTCCTTAGGGTACAAAGAATGTGTATGCAAGATTATAAGTTAAGAAATGTGGCCTGTAGACGACAAACAAACAAATACTAGAAATGGGCGTGGCTCTGCCCCTGGGGGTCGGGCATGCACCAAAAACAATAGGGATCTTCCTTGGGGTATAAGGAATAAGTATACCAAGTTTGAAGAAAATCCAGTAAGAATTGCGCCCTGTAGGCGACACAAAGACACACGAAAAGAAAATGGGCGTGGCTCTGCCCCTGGGGGTTGGGCATGCACCCCAAACGATAGGGATGTTCCTTAGGGTACAAAGAATGTGTATGCAAAGTTTCAAGATTATTAGTTAAGAAATGTGGCCTGTAGACGACAAACAAACAAATACTAGAAATGGGCGTGGCTCTGCCCCGGGGGGTCGGGCATGCACCAAAAACAATAGGGATCTTCCTTGGGGTATAAGGAATAAGTATACCAAGTTTGAAGAAAATCCATGAAGAATTGCGCCCTGTAGGCGAACCACAGACACACACACACACATACATACATACACACACACACACACAGACAGGGGCGACGGCATAATACGTTCACATTATGAATGTGGACGTATAATAAAAACCAGAATAATAAAGTAATTACTTCTGTTGACTCCGTTTTGATAATCGACTGGCTTCAGCTGCCTGTTTCCTTGCTTCAAACTCTTCTCTCTTTAGCACTTCACCACTACCACGGTAACCCAATTCAACCAGTTGTCGTGCCAATTCCTCATCCTAATAATCATAATAATAGAATTTGTTACACATAACTGACACCACTTAAAACCCCCAGGATGAATCCAATGTTTGTATTTAGCTATATATTTGACCTCTTCAATTTCATCTTAAAAACTTATTATACTTAAAATTTAATATATAGGCTACATTACATGAAAAGATCATTTTATTTGATCAATTATTTTGTGATGATATCAATATTTGAGCATATGTGTCAGGAAGGATTTAGCCTATATAAGCCTATATAATTAGTCACATTGAAAATTTTAAATTTCCAACATTCGACCGATTTAACAAATATTGTAGAATTTCTAAATTGTGTCCCAACCGGTGCTCCATACCTCCAGATAATATAAATCTAACGATGTGATTTGCGAGTCCAAAAAATCTTCATATGTGTTGAATTCAGTTACAATATTGTCTCCACTGCTTGCCACTTCTTCTTCCATGGTTAAATTAAAATGAAAATAATTTACAAAAGAGAACACTTATTGAATATTACAGAAAATCGTTCGCAAATTAAGGAAAACCCCTCCCGAACAAGTCGTCTCGAATGTAAACAATTTCCACCGGAAGGCGCACGAACACATCGTTTTGCTTAGCAACTGTAAACCACGGCATGCGCTTTCAGTTCAATCAAGTGAGCAAAATAAACTGACCGTAAACGTTGGGTTATAAACATAACAGGTATGAAATAATAAGTTCGTTTTATTCTTGCTGTTTTCATAGTAAAAGCAAATTACGATAAATTTTTGTTACATCGATAAAGTTTATGAATTCTGTCAAGTTTTGTCTTTGCAAAATAAGGACATGGAGTGGACATTTGGTATTTGTTGAGTGTAACTTAGACAGCAATTACCTAAGGGTATTCCATTTCTTTAGTTTTGTAGTGCTTCATCCTGGCGGGATGTTTTGGTATAACAGTTAATTTCTCCTGAACGTTGTTTTGTAATACTGATGTTAAATTAATCTTGATATTGAAGTACGTTTATAACCACCGCGTAGGGATATTCCCCAGCATCCAAACATACGTGTGGATGACGTAAAAGAAACGTAGAAAAGTTGGTATAGAGTACAGTAAAATTGGAGCCCCTGAAGTGCACAATTTCACTTAAATAATTATACCGTAAACGATTCCACTCTTATATAATTATTTTGATTAAACGAAATATTAATTCGTTATAACAAGTTCATTATAATGATTTATTAATTCATTATGATAAATTAACAAAATATTAAAAGAAATATTAATTCGATATAATGAGATAATTCCTTATAACGAAATAATTCATTATAATGAAATAATTCATTATAATGAAATAATTCATTATAATGAAATAATTCATTATAATGAAATAATTCATTAGGCCTATATTTCATTATAATGAAATAATTCATTATACTGAAATAATTCGATATAATGAAATAATTCATTATAAAGAAATATTAATTCCAAATAGGGAAATATTAATTCGTTACAGAGAAATATTTATTTGTTTAAACAAGATATTAATTTGTTTACACAAAATATTAATTTGTTATAAGAAAATAATTATTTTGTTTAAACTAATTACCGGTAATCGATCATGATTTAACACAACGACTAATATTAATAACTCCAATGTTCCAAACATCAAAATTGAAAATACAATATGTTAAAAAAAAACAATGATGGTTAAACTCGTTTAAACAAAATATTAATTTGTTTTCGTTTACATGAATGAATTATTTTGTTTTAACAAATTTATTTTTGAAATTCAGTCAAGCTTGAGGCGTTAATCCTGGAACTGCGACACAAACTAGGTCATTTCGGGACTAAACATGGCTCAACTATGTTTCAATACTTCGCTTGCGCGTAGGGGTCTTTAGCAGTGGGAGCAAACAGGTGGATCTGGAGAAAACCCACAACGTTGGACAGGCAACCCTCTACAAGCCGTCAATCGAAACAATGCCACTTGACTCAATGACAGACCTCATGGTTTCACACAGGAACACCATGTTAGCAAGCCAATGTCTAACTCACTGAGTCACCGCAGCTCCCTTCTAAAAATCAAAATTTACCTTAATCTTCTATTTGCTGCAGTGGTGGTCATATAATTAAAATTATACCAGACATTTCTTGTTCCGTTTTTTAGGAGGTCACAGTGGCTAAGTGGGTAGGAAGCTAGCCCGCTAGTCTGGAGGTCGGGTGTTCGATCCATACATTTGCTGGGAAAGTATGGTTTCATCTTGTCAGTAATGCAGGACAGAGGGCCTGACAAGAACAGCTGTGTAGTCGTTCGGATGGGACGTGAAACCGGGGTCCCGTGTACACATTGGCATGCATGTAAATTATCCCTTAACAGTTGGAATTCGATATAAGAGTAGGCCATAGTGTCGCTGTCCGGTCAAAATTTCCCTCATAGCACACTGTATCGCGTATGCCCGTCTTCATTAGTCCAATTCGGAGCAGAACAGTAGGACGTTAAACTCTATTTCATTTCATTCATTTCTTGTTCCGTTTTTTATTCGTAACATCTTAGTCAATTTCGTTACCAGTGTGGTTATCATCTGACATTATAACATTTTTTTATTTTAGACCAAATGATTATGTTATGAGATATGGTGCTAACTAGCAACAGTCATGGCATTTGAGAGGAATACCTTGTTACGGAATCGTTACGATCTGATTCGAAGACCTGAAAGTGCACCTTTGAGTAACAAAGATGAAGCAACTATAGCTAACGAAAAAGGCTTAAAGAGTAAAGACTATGCAGCATTTTTAAAGTAAGAGTAAAGACCGTAATATCTTGCTAGGAAATATAGAAAAGTTGGTTTTAAGTTATAAGCAACTGTCATTTTCAGATTAATTTCTGTGAGATTTGTATTGGCCTATACAAGAAGCTTGAGCTGTCCAGATAACATTACTTAAACATACATTATGCAAGAGCTAAATCTGCCTATTGCAGGTCTTTCTTTAGGCCTGAAATGTTATCTAAATTATTAATTAGACATTAATTAACTTATCCAGACCATAATCAACTATCGATGTCATCACTAGCCTGTGACATTTACTGGATTAGGATCCAATCTGCTGTTCAGGACTCATTCATGATTAAATCATGAAATGGATAATCGAGACTTATGTTTTTTATCGACAGCTTTAGTAATGATGATTGAGACTAAGTCTAAAATTCAATTGCCAAAAGAAGAACACTATAATTACACACAAAATAAGATAGAATGCAGTTGCAAGTTAAATATACATGAAAAATAATAAATATTTCATCAGTTTAATCTTAAAATTTTCAACATTTTTACACGTCTAAAGGCAGAGTGTTCCATAAAAGACGTGCAGAATAATGAAAAGTACGTTTCATAGGAAAGGGGATTTACTGGTCTGTTAATGGGGCAAGATATGAGTTTAAATAACGTGGAGTATTAAATGTAATAATTTTGAATGATAAGACAATTTTATTATAAAGAATCCTCTGTGCAACTTAGATTAAGCTAACTGAGTTTAGTAAATAAAGAGGTGGATGGGTAAATAAAATTTTAATGTATGTGTTGTAATTTTTGTAGGGAACAGGAAAGGAAAGTTGGTCCCGATGGTTTTGTGGATTCTGGTCGCTATAGTTACACGTATCAACGTAAAAGAGATTGCAAACAGAAAGGTTTAGATAATAATCACTCAACACCACGGGCCAGCGTCGTCAGTTTACAAGATAAAATAAAGAAGGAAGAACAGAACCACGGAAAATGTTTAAAAGTCATAGAGGTACATATAAGCTTGTACCACCTCATCTCGGCAATATGATTAAAATACAGATCTATATTTCGTTTTGTTTCTTTATACTTTCGATGGACTTCACTACATGAAGATCTGACCAGTTATAGTAGTGGGAGGTCGTGTCAGGGGTTATACAAGTGACTTTTGACATCAGACATTTGATTAACCAATCAGCGTTGATATTTCTAGTAGGATGCCCACAGTTCTGTGCATCACACACCAAGAACTCACTTCTACAGACCATTTCATTGGCTAAACCCTCACATCAATCAGAACAGGGGTTATATAATGTGGTATTGGGAATAAGGCTCACTCAGAAAATGCTTGAAAGTCACGAACATCAAAAATAGTTGAAATTAGTTACTAATGACAAGCGGCATCTCCACCATGTGGTATTGGGATCTCTTAACTTGTCACCATTCCGATGTTATCGGATTAAGCAAACTCGCTAAGGCAGTTAAGTAACTAACGACGCCATGCTTTCGTTCACCTTCCACCAGAAGAGGTCAAGGTCATTTATTAATGTGTAGGTGTAGATAACTCTTACAAAACAAAAGGGAAATAACTCCAATATTGTTGGAACGAATTACACATAACAGTAATTATACGACAATAACAACTCTTCCAGATCATCCTAGTGTTGTTAAGACAAGTAAAACGAAATTTTGAACTATAAAAAAGGAAACGAAATAGGATCTGTGTTATAATCAGATTGGTCATCTTGGGTACCATGTAGTTGTACTGTCTTAGTTTTAAACCATTGTTAAAATTTTTTGTGAAACATCGAAAAATATAGGGTTCCTACTGTTGCGTTGTTTAAAACGGTCCGTTTAGATTAGATAATGAGTGTCCCGTTTACAATTGTTTACTTTCCCCCGAGATTAATTAAGTACTCGACATCTCTCGAAAAAGTAAACAGTTGAAATCCTGATACTCAAGTTATAGTTTGCCAACCTAGACGTTTATGATAAATTTTACAATTTCAATTTTTTTGGGGGGACGGGGGGGGGGGTTGGATGGCTGAATGGTTAGCACATGCGCGCTCTATCATAAGGTCTGTCATTGAATCAACTGGCGTGGTTTTCGAATCCCTGATTGTACGGGACAAGGATTAGGGTCGCCTGTCCAGCCTTGTGGGTTTTCTCCGGGTCCTCCGGTTTTCTCCCACTTCTAGAAACCCTATGCGCAAGCGAATTATTGAAATAAAATTAAACCATATGTTAGTTCTGAAATGACCTAGTTTGTTTCAAGTGGACGTTAAACCCCATTTCTCTCTCTCTCTCACATATCCATATTAGTCAGGGTACAAGCCCCAGATCTGTGACCATTCCTTCGGGAATAAGGTTTAATGGCTGTTTGTAATAGAAGGGACCCGACCGGGTGAAGATATTTGTAGTTTGCTAGGTCAGAATTCTTGTCAGATTGTCAGAATTAAGTTTGGACTTGTGTTGCTTAGACGAAAAAACGGGGCCTGCTTGATGTATTGTGTATATTTCTTTTTATAGGATTTAATGTGGCAACACAAGCAGGAAGAAAGAGAATTAAAGAGGACAGAAGGCGATATCGTCAAAAATCAACAAATAGTTCGACATACACTTCGAGATTATGAACATGGTTTGTATCTTTAATTAAAACTCTGATGCCCAATTTTAGCGCTATTGGAATCATTTGAAACAACCATATTGTTTAAGATGTATCTGTAATTGGAATATCAGTCCAAAAATGGTGTAATTCCTTCAGTATTTACAAAGATATGTGGAATTGAAAGATATTGGGTGCTTAGCTTTTTAAAGGGACTATCCCGATTTGATCAGGGTCTCAAAAATAAAAGTCTGAGTACGTTTGAAATTTAAGCGCCAAAATATAGAGGAATGGTGTATTTACCGTGTCTCAAAATTTCAGCTCAAAATATTGAGTCGTTTGGACGTGAACGCCAAAACTGCTTATCCGGACACGTAATCCTTTTTTTTCGTTGGGTGGCCTGATAATTGATTCCTGTTCTTTTATGGATCTATACAATGAATGACCCATGTGCTGTACTTGATAACGAAAGGTAAGTTCCACCTAGGCATTAGTTTTATAAAATAAAAGTCTGTTTTTATCCAGCAACCGCATAATACAGCTTGGGAGACCGGTCTCCATCTCCAGATGAAGACTGACAGGTTTAAGTTGTTTGAAAACGTATCACATATAATGAGTTAGCTGCTCGGCCCTAAGGTAGAGGGTTTTATGGGATTTTAACACAAAATTAAGCAGTTTTATTCTCCAAAATGTTATCGGGATTGGCCGTTTAATAAACCCACCACCATTTTCTTGGTCAACTATATCTTCACCGTCTCCGAGAATGGCCGATCGTTTGATTGACAGGCGTTGACTCCATCTACATAATCTCGAATATCAAGTAACGTTTTCAATGGCTATTCGGTTTGAGACGGGTTGCAATTCAATTCGTATCACATTTATTTTTACTACAAATTAAAAAAGACTTTTAATAGATAAGATGCGAAAGTTTGAAAGGAATGGACCAAATCATTGAGGCAGTCTTGTACATAATTATAGCCGACTTCTTGTTATAGCCTGCGTGTTCTCTTGTCTGTAACTGTACATGACTCCCGAAGCAGACAAATAGGAAACGTATAATAAGAGCGTATAATACCGACATCCAAACTCTCGTTTTAACCACAATTAAACATAATATCAAGGCTGTATATCAAACTTTCAATCAAATTGACTGACATGCGGCCTCGCTCAACAGCAGCCTCGCTTTGTACACTCTATCATTTAACCTCGATCATCACTGCCTTTTATGGATAATTTCCGGGAGTATGACGTCAACGCAACGGTTAATCTCCGCTTACGACGCCATTTAAAAATTTAATCAATCAATGAAATCCTGATTAAATCCAAGCCATCCGTGGGTCTGCAGAGTTGATTTTGGGCTTGTTGTGTAAATAAAGATCTAATTTATAATTTCTATGACGTCTGAAGCCTAAATAAAGACTTAAAATGTGCTGATTTAGCTCTTGCATAATGTATGTTTAAATAATCAATCTGAGTGCATATATTGGTGTTGAATATGCTGTGCCAAATTTGATAAATCTTAGCGAAAAATGGGGTGTCATTATTCTAGCTTCTATTTCACAAGATATCATTGTCTACCACATCTTTGGGGGTATACGTCGATTCTTTCTCCCGTGGAAATAAGCCCCCCCCCCTCATCCGTCTTATTCTCTGCATCAATTTATATATGGATGAAGGTATAGAAATTGACACCTAGGAATATATTTTCTGTCAAGTGATAGCACTTGCATGTCAAAGTCAAAGGACATGGTCTACCATTTTTGGGGGGCCCAAATTGACACTCTCTTCAGGGTCAAAACTGACACCTATTAAATTTCATTTCTCAGAAACTGTTGCTGTTTGATGTCAAGTGAAATGAATAATTGCACTCACACGACAACATCAAAGCTTGAGAGTTTTGCTATCATCTAAACTACTTATATTATTCCAACCCAAATACTTGTCAACATTTATAAATATATATTATAGAGAGAGAGAGAGAGAGAAATTGGGTTTTAATGTCCACTCGACACAAACTAGATCATTTCAGGACTAACATATGGTTCAATTTTATTTCAATAATTCACTTGCGCGTTGGGGTCTTTAGCAGTGAGAAGAAGCCAGAGAACCTGGAGAAAAACCATGAGATTGGACAGGTGACCGTACACCTTGTCACGTACAATCAGGGAATTGAAACCACGCCAGTTGACTCAATGACAGACCTTATGATACAGCGCACAAGTGCTAACCATTCAGCCATCCAATCCCCCATATATTATAGATTATATATTCTTTTTCTTTCTTTGCAGCTATCAATAAAAAGAAAATGGCTGAAGCAAAGAAACTGTCCCATTCATTAGACAAGTATACAGTATTACAACAAGATCATGTGCATAATAAAGAACAAGTAAGTGATGCTTTAAACATCTTTCTTATTAAAGGCTCAATACCACTCTTGTTGTAACTGAATAATATGTCCCAATCTTTATTCTGGTCAACAAATTGCACTATTTTACAATATTCCAATTAATTGATGATACAAATTTCATCTTAACACACCTAATTTAAAAAATTGGAAAAATTCAACTAAATGATTTGAAAAGCCTGACGTAAAGCTTTTCAAATGTGACTTGGATTTAAGAATATTTTTGAACCCTCTGGACAAATAAAATAGGATTTAATGGATAATTTACACAACAGGTAGGACACTAACACATCTAGTACTTAGAATAAGGCTATTTTTTTATTTTTTGGAGCTGTCAAGCCAGCAAGAGTGTTATTGTCCCTTTAAACTACAGTAACCCTCGCATAAGTCAGATTCCTATAAGTCGGATCTTTTCTCAACTCGGATAAAATCATTTGAACCCTTTGATCCTGCCCGTTTTTCTTATTAAATTTCTGCACATAAGTTAGATTTCCTAAGTCGGATCTTTGCTCAACTCGGATCAAAATGTTTGGTCCATTTGATCTTATTCCGGCTTTTTTTTCCTTCGCCTAAGTCGGATTGGCAGTATGTTCAGAATTTCACTGTCAGTTTCATCCCAATGGTCTAAAATTTGGTCCGGTATTCCATGCACAGAGCCCCAAAATACTTTCTTCTATCATTTTCACTCAAATCAGCCTATTTGACGCGATGGAATAATAGAATTTTCACGGAAAATTCGAAACTTGCTGTCTGCTGTACGAGACACTTTCTGGGAAAATTAAGGACAATTTTCAAAGATGGCGAAGCATTTGTTATCCGACTCTTGCAGTTTATTTCTAATCAAGCTAATTTCGTTCTTCCGTTACATTGGATCTTCGCTTAACTCGGATAAAATTGGTCAGTCCACTTAGATCCGACTTATGCAAAGTTAACTGTACTTCAAGAGTTACTGGTTTTGACATATAACTTTCAAACATATCCTTAAGATATCGAAGCAGCAATTGCATTCTTGGCTAAGATGTCAAATTTCTCACAGCTTAATCCATGCTAATACGTACTCAGATGGATTATTTAACATCTAATTAAAAAAACAAAAATAATAATACCAACGCTAGATAATCTCCTGATTGGATTCCATTTGATTTAAAACAGACCTATCAATAAATTTTCGTGGACAACAAAATAGTGCCAGGCTTATTACAGAGTGAGCGGGATAGATTGATGAAATTTTATCTTTGTAAATATTGAACTGAATTAAACCATTTTTTGACTGATATTCCTATTAGAGATTCTTTCCCCTTGTCAGTGGTGCAGAACGGAGGGCCTGACAAGGACAGCTGTCTAGTCCTTTGGATGAGACGAAAAACCAAGGTCCCGTGTATACATTGGAATGCATGTTAAAGATCCCTTGGCAGTTGGAATTTGATATAAGAGTAGGCAATAGTGCCGCTGCCCGGGCAAAATTTCCATCATAGCACACTGTATGGCGTATGCCCGTCTTCATTAGTCCAGTATAGGAGCAGAACAGTAGGACGTTAAACCCCATTTCATTTCATTTCTATTAAAGATTTAACTTTCACAATACCGTAGTTTGTAAGTGATTCCTATAGTGCTAGAAGATGCTGAAGTAATATCTATTTGCAACTAAAAACTGACTAGAATCTCTGCCCGAGGTTGTAAGTCAACTCACAAGTTATATCGGAAGGTTAAAATAGATAAATTGATTAGCAAATAGAATATAATGATATCCAAGTTTTGTAAGGTCTGTGTAACTTAGATTTTAATAACGAGAGTGCATCAGTTCAGAACAGATCTCAGCAGGAGTGATCAGACTCCGACCAGTTCATGGTAAATTTCTCCAACAATGAGGCCAACCAAACTGCCAATAAATTTCCAAGGATTGTTGTGGATTTCTATCAAATGCTGATATAGAAAGGGGGGTTGGATGGCCGAAAGGTTAGCACGGTTGTACGTGACAAGGTGTAGGGACGTTAAACCCCATTTCTCTCTCTCTCTGATATAGAATTTTAATCATCAATAATTAACACCAGTTAGTTGTGTAAAACATTTCAGCTGCGAAAAGAAAGAACATTTCATAAGATAGCTAAAAAAGAGGAGAATAATTATACAGGCCGACAAATATATAGGGCTAAGTATGTTATAATGGTAGTACATTTTATATAACATATAGCTAGCAATATTATATATTATATCTAGATGTATATGTAGCTTTATCTTATATATCTTTATATCAGGCTTTATACATACATATGTCTAGTTTTATATCATAAATCTATATGTATCGTTATATCAGCTGTGTATTATATACATACATATATATCTAGCTTTATATCATGTACCTCAAGTCATTTGGTATAACTTTATTATACCACTAGATTTTATATCATATATATAACTTTGTCATAAATATCTTATATTTCTGGCTTTACTTCTTATATTTCTAACTTGTCTCTAGCTTTATATCATATATCTCTCTAGCCTATCTCTAGCTTTATATCATATATCTCTCTAGCCTATCTCTAGCTTTATATCATATATCTCTCTAGTCTATCTCTAGCTTTATATCATGTTTCTCTAGGCTGTCTCTAGCTTTATATCATATCTCTCTAGTCTATCTCTAGCTTTATATCATATATCTCTCTAGCCTATCTCTAGCTTTATATCATATATCTCTCTAGTCTATCTCTAGCTTTATATCATGACTCTCTAGGCTGTCTCTAGCTTTATATCATATATCTCTCTAGCCTATCTCTAGCTTTATATCATATATCTCTCTAGCCTATCTCTAGCTTTATATCATGTCTCTCTAGGCTGTCTCTAGCTTTATATCATATATCTCTCTAGCCTATCTCTAGCTTTATATCATATATCTCTCTAGCCTATCTCTAGCTTTATATCATATATCTCTCTAGCCTATCTCTAGCTTTATATCATGTCTCTCTAGGCTGTCTCTAGCTTTATATCATATATCTCTCTAGTCTATCTCTAGCTTTATATCATATATCTCTCTAGGCTGTCTCTAGCTTTATATCATATATCTCTCTAGTCTATCTCTAGCTTTATATCATATATCTCTCTAGTCTATCTCTAGCTTTTTATCATGTCTCTCTAGCCTATCTCTAGCTTTATATCATATATCTCTCTAGTCTATCTCTAGCTTTATATCATGACTCTCTAGGCTGTCTCTAGCTTTATATCATATCTCTGTAACCTATCTCTAGTAGATGTAGTTTTTACTTACAGACAACATTAGATAGAATACAACAATCAGTTAATGCTGAGCAATCCCATAAAGATTCAGGTAGAAAATTGGAAGTAACAAAGTAAGTTAAGCATGGAATCAAACATTTATTGTTGTCAATGTAATAACACTCTATATTAACCAATGATATCTTGTTGTATGTGGCGGGGTGAGGTTGGGTGGCCTAATGGTTTATCGTGTTTGAGATGGATCATAAGGTCTGTTATAGAGGGGGGGTTGGATGGCTGAATGGTTAGCGTGCGCGCGCTGTATCATAAAGTCTGTCATTGAGTCGACTGGTGTGGTTTCGAATCCCCGGTTGTACGTGACAAGGAGTAGGGTCGCCTGTCTGACCTCGTGGGTTTTCTCCGGGTCCTCCGGTTTCCCCCCACTGCTAAAGACCCCTACGCGCAAGCAAATTATGTAAATGAAATTAAAACCATATGTTAGTCTCGAAATGACCTAGTTTGTGTCGAGTGGACGTTAAACCCCATTTCTCTCTCGCTCTGTTATAGAGTTAATTAGTGGCATGGTTTTGATTCCCTACTTGGACATGACGAGGAGTAGAGTCTCCTCTGTGTCCTCCAGTTTTCTCCCATTGCTAAAGACCCCTACGTGCATGCGAATTATGGAAATAAAATTGAACCATATGTTAGTCCCGATATGACCTAGTCTGTTTAGAGTGGACGTTAAACCCCATTTCTCTCTCTCTCACTTGGGGCTACAGCTTTACTACCAGGCTGGTATATCATGGTACTTGAGGCTATAGTTTTTATATCATGGTACTTGGGGCGACAGTTTTACCACCTAGCTGGTATATCAAGGGCATGGTGCGACAGTTTTACCACCTAGCTGGTATATCATGATACATGGGGCTATAGTTTTACCACCTAACTGGTATATTTTTGGTAAATGGGGCTACAGTTGAATTTGTTGTTTTGCTTCTTCATTGCCTTTAAGCTTACAATATATTTCTTATATATCATGTCCGTTTATTGTTTGATATTTTCAGATATTTATTTTCATTAATAACTTAAACATTTAAAGATACATTATGGGAGATTAGATAAAGAGCTGGTAGTTCGCACTATAATAGTTAAAAACTAGATAATGTAAAGGCAATTTGCTGAAAATTTCAGTCAAATTGATCCACTATGAACTAAGATTTTAGCGATTGAATTTTCAGCCTAGCCACGATCATCATTACTAAAGTCGGTAGGATAAAAAAACATAGTCTTGATTATCCATTTCATGATTTAATTATGAATGGAAGTCGAACAGCAAATCGTAACCTAATCCAATAAACATCACAGGCTAGCGATGCCATCAAGAGTTGTTTATGGTCTGGATAAGTTAATTAATGTCTAATTAATAATTTAGATAACATTTCAGGCCTAAAGAAAGACCTGCAATAGGCAGATTTAGCTCTTGCATAATGTATGTTTAACATTGATTTTAGATTTAAAAGCTTTGGTGTTTTTGTGTGTGGAATTTTTAGGGATTTTCGTTTTCATTAAAGAAAATTTTATACGCCCACTCTAAGACTTATAGTATCATCGCCTGCGTCTGTCATTCATCCACATTTTCTTGTGTCAAGAGCACTTGACAGATTTATTTTTCAAATTCAAAAGGTAGTTCATCTCTTCTGTTTCCATTTTGAATTTTAAAACTTAATTGTGAGGGCAATTGTGGAAAATATGTCACAGTTTTTTTGACTTTTGTCTTTGTGAATGCATACAGAAATTTTTAGTTGTATCTTTTTTTATTTAAAAACAAGATTTATGGACAATGCTTGTTGAGCTAGCGTGGACAGCTTTGCTGCTGCTGGGCATAAACCCCATCTTTGTTTGGAAATAATGAAATCGTTCTCATTACACTGGGATATTGTTTTTAAATTTTGGTAAATACACTTGACATTTTATGTCTATGAATGTTAATTTTTTTATGTTATTTCTCTTCTTATTTTTTTTCATAATTTTTTATGTTTTATTTAAAATGCATTCCATTGTGTTACTATTGTCAAATTATTGGGAAAAAGAAAATTGATTAATATGCAAATTTTGTGTTTTAGGACAGACCTAGCCAGAAAATACAAAACTAAAGTCAGTGAAATAGAACTCAAACGGACGGAGATGCTGAGACTCAATCAAGAATTTGAAAATAAGTTAAAATTAAAGGAGGTAAAAACATTTAATAATTCTAAAGCATGATCAGTCTTATCATTTAGGGGAGCCATGGTGGCTCAGTGAGTAAGACGTTGGCTCGCTAAACTGGAGGTCCTGTGTTGACTGAGAAAGGTCATCAGGATTTTCTGTCGTGGCTTCAGCTTCCCCCCCTCCCCCCTTGTCATTGGTGCAGGATGGACGGCCCAGCAATGGACAATATATAGTCGTTAGGATATGACAAAAAACTGAGGTCCTGTGTTTACATTGGCAGGCACGTTAAAGATCCATTGACAGTTGGAATTCAACATAAGAGTAGGCTGTAGTTCCACTGTCCAGGCTTAATGTCCCTTAGAGCACACTTTATGGCATACGTGCTTGTTCATTAACCCAGTTGGTACAAAACAGTAGGACATTTAGGTCTGAATTGAAGACCTGTTATTATAAGGCCTTTTTGATCAGTGTCGGCGGACTTCGTCTGTCACACCTGAGATATAGAATTCCCAGTCATAAGCTGTGTTCATATTAAGACCCAAAACTCATTTGTTTATGACTTATTATCAGGATTAGTTATCCTCCATAGTCTTACGGGGGTTGGATGGCCGAATGGTTAGCACACGTGCACTGTATCATAAGGCCTGTCATTGAGTCAACTGGCACGGTTTCGAATCCCCGGTTGTATGTGACAAGGAATAGGGTCGCCTGTCCAACCTCGTGGATTTTCTCCGGGTCCGCCGGTTTCCTCCCACTGCTAAAGACCCCTACGCGCAAGAGAATTATTGAAATAAAATTAAAACCATATGTTAGTCCGGAAATGACCTAGTTTGTGTCAAGTGGACGTTTAACCCCATTTCTCTCTCTCTCTTTTACACATTGGTGTGAATGTAAAAGATCCATTGGCAGTTGGAATTCAATATTAGAGTAGGCAGTAGAGCCGCTGTCAGGACAAAATTTCCCTCAGAACACTGAATGGTGTATACCTATCGTGATTAGCTGGGTAGGACATTAAACCTACTTTCATTTCTTGTACCAATAGAATGGGGTCTCGACTAATGTGTAATTGACACTGTACTTCAGTCAGAACCGAATTGATAAACTCCTTTAGATTCTTCTGAGGCCACGCCAGGATTTGAAAACAAGACATTATGCTATCAACTGTATAAATACTTTGAGTCTAACATTTTTCTTTTCAATATTTAGATGCAAGGGAGATAATTTTGTCTAAAAAGCAGCCAGACAGTGCTTATAAGAAACCCTTGTTTTTGTTATAAACTATGTTTTTGTTATAAACCATGTTTTTGTTTTTGTTATAAACCATGTTTTTGTTATAAGCAATAAACCATGTTTTTGTTATAAACAATAAACCATGTTTTTGTTATAAACAATAAACCATGTTTTTGTTATACACAATAAACCATGTTTTTGTTATAAACCATGTTTTGTTTTTTATAAGAAACCCATGGTTTTGTGAAGATCAGTCACAAACATATACTTTTACACAAATGACTGGATCTTTTAAAATATCATTTACAGGAAGAACAGTTCCGTCTGAAACAGGAAGCAGCAGATTTAGCTCTGTCACTTAACATGGAAGCCCAGAAAGGAAGAGTGAAAAAATTGGAAGCTGAAAAGTTTGTATTCTATATTTATTTGATATATTAAACTCCTGTAGTTTATTTTCTTCCATGGTATTTAGTAACAGAAACATGTTGGCCATGTATGATTATTAAATGATTGAATTCTCCAACATTTCATTATTTAATAAAAAATCAGTCCTTCATGTTTAAGGGGAGCTTTCGCTCCTGCTCCTCTCGACGCACGTCGGCTTTCCTTCGAAGGAGTCATGCAAATTAGCTTAATCGCTCTCCTAAATATTGAGATAATAAACTACTTTCAGTTTTTGTTTACTTTTAAACTGCATACATTCAAGGTATCAGGAGCTTTATATGGCTCTCGCACAATTTTTAAACATGAAGGACTGAAAAGATCCTTCTTTCCAATAGTTGGGAAGTCAGGGTTGGGTGACCAAGTGGTCTATCACATGTGCTGTATGCCACAAAGTGTATTATTAATTAAGTCAAGAGGCATGGTTTCAATCCAGGCTGGTTTGTGACAGGAGTATCGGGGTCACGTTCCTAAACTCATGGGTTATTGATTCTTATGCTCAGACTCATCATTTTGAAATGTTGTCTCCATGATTTTTATTTCCGGTTACCTGTCCTTCGATTTGTTTTCCTCATCTCTTGTCCCTTGACTTTTATTCCCTGTCTCAGCTGTCCCTTGATATTTATTCCCGGTCAAATGTCCCTAGATTTCTATTCCCAATCTCAGCTGTGTCTTGATACTTATTCCCAGTCAAATGTCCCTAGATTCCTAATCCCAATCTCAGCTGTATCTTGATTTCTATTCCCAATCTCACCTGTCCCTTGACTTTTATTCCCAATCTCCTCTCCCATGAATTTTATTCCCAATCCTTGATCTGTATTCCCTGTCTCCTGATTTTCTATCCTGTGGCTATCACAGTTCTGATCTTGATTTTATCTGATTTTAATTTGTAGAAAAAGAAAAGAAGATAATAAAAATAGAATAGAAGATGATTTAAAGATTGATTCTGAATTCTCTTCTAAATTAGCGTAAGTTAAACTTTGTTTTCTTTGAACATATGTAGGAATAAGAAATGAAATGGGGTTTAACGTCCTACTGTTCTGTGCCAACTGGGCTAATGAACACAGGCATACGCCATAAAGTGTGCTATGAGGGACATTTTGCGTGGACATACGCCATACAGTGTGCTATGAGGGAAATTTTGCCCAGACAGTGGCACTGCAGCCTACTCATATTTAGAATTCCAACTGTCAAGGGAATTTTTATGTGCACGCCAATGTGTACACAGAACCTCGGTTTTTCGTCCCACCTGAACGACTAGACAGTTGTCCTTGTCAGGCACTCTGTCCTGCATCACTGACAAGGGGGAACCTCGCTCTGGAAAATTGTTCTTCAAACTGACGGTAGCCTGTTCACCAATGAAAACCATGATAAATTGGCTACATTATTTTGTATGAAGACCGTGACTAATTTATTTATATCATTGCTTCAATATTCTCAATCACCTTATGTCAGTTTCACTAGTTTGGATTTCTGAAAAGTGAATGAATGAGTGAATGAATGAATGAATGAATGAATGAATGAATGAATGAACGAGTGAAATGGGGTTTAACATCCTAATCTTCTGCTCCGACTGGACCAATGAAGACGGGCACGCCCCATGTAAAGTGCTGTACAGTGTCGAATTCTAGCTGCCAGTGTGTGCACTGGACGTCAGTTTTTGTCCCATCCAAAAGACTATACATTGTCCCTCGCCAGGCCCTCTGTACTGCACCACTGACATGGGGGAAACCGTGGCAGAAAATCCAGATAAATTTTTTCAGCCAACACTGGGATCGAACAGGGGTCCTTCAGGTTAGCGAGTCAGCGTCTTACTCACTGAGGCTCTGTGGCTTCTATGAGTTCTGAATAAAGTAAAGTTGTTTTATATTTACCAGTAAAAGCGATGGAGATATAAAGATAGCAGAATCAACGAAAAGAAAATTAAGCGCAGATTTATCTCGGACTAAAACACATCTAGATATCAAGAAACGGGATGGTAAGTTTTGATGGTTTGTTTGGTTTTTTTTTCTGTTCTCTTGAAGGACAATTTCACAAGGTGTGTGTATAATTAATTCTCATTCTAACCCATGCTTCCTTCTTTCAAAAATATCCCCCATCACCTCAAATAACCAAAACACAAATTTGAAATCTGAGATATTGGTGACACTACCAAAATCATAGGCATTGGGGGCTATTTGCCGAAGTTTTAAAATGAATCAATCATTATCCTTATAAGACATATAGAAGTATATTTCACAATCATATAAGTGTCTTTAATTTGAATCAATCATTACTAAAACGAGTTTTCCACAAAGCTCCGCTTAAGTTTTATCGTATTCAACAGGCGATTACATTATACAATTATATTTTTATGATATATGATTTCATTCTCTGATGTTTGTGCCCAATCAAAATAATATGTATACCATGTAAAATGATATTACATTAAAGATGCATAATGCAAGAACTAAATCTGCCAATTGCAGGTCTTTATTTAGGCTTTAAATGTCATATAAATTATTAATTAGACATTTATTAACATGACAAGACCATAATTACCATCGGATGGTGCTGATATAAGCACATTGAAATAGGATTGCCATTTAATGATTCCATTAAAAAATGGAGAAACAAGCCGGAGTCTCAATTAAGAAGTAACGTTGCTACAATAATAAACAATTTATGTCAAAACTTCAAACAGCGTTAACGTCACTCAGAATAATTTGAATGAAATTTTCCATATATTAATTTTGAATTATCTATTTTGGAACTAGTATATCAAGCGCGGCCATCTTTTTCTAAATCTTACATGATGCATCTTTGAATAAATACAATCATAGATATAGACAATCGTTATTAAAATATAATTAAACCAAAACAATAAATAGCTCAATAAGCTAATTAATAAAACAAAACCCTTGATATATACTTGTATTTCATAACAGGGGGGGTTGAATGGCCAAATGGTTAGCGTGTGTGCGCTGTTTTATAAGGTCTGTCATTTAGTCAACTGACCTGGTTTCGATTACCCAGCTGAACGTGACTAGGAGTAGAGTCACCTGTCTAAAGTCATGGGTTTTCTCCGGGTCCTCCAGTTTCCTCCCACTGCTAAAGACCCCTACGTGCAAGCGAATTATTGAAATAAAATTGAACCATATTTTAGTCCTGAAATGACCTAGTTTGTGTCGAGTGGACATTAAACCCCATTTCTCTCTCTCTCTATTTCAGAACAGCGTCATTTAATAGATACAAAGATTCGTCTAGGAGGTAATATTAGTACACAGAGACAATTAAACGAAGCAGCCATACACGTAGAAACAAATAAAAAAGTTCAACAATTAGATCAAAAAATTCAGGTAATGGTAAATTATTATTTGTGGTGAAATGAAAGAAACAAGGTTTAACTTCCTACTGTTCTGCTCCGAACTGGGCTAAAGAAAACGGGCATAGGCCATACAAAGGGCTATGAGGAAAATTTTGCCTGGACAGTGGCACTACAGCCTACCTTTATATCGAATTCCAACTGTCAAGGGATCTTTTACATGCATGCCAATGTGTACACGGGACCTAGTTTTTTTGTCCAATCCGAACAATGAAAAAAACGAAGTCCTGTGTGCACATAAAAGATCCCTTGGCATTTTTATTTTATTTGCATTTCATTTCATTTCATTTTCATTTATTTTCATTTTTTTTTGTCATTTTAGTTTTCATTTCATTTCATTATTTTCTTATTTTATTTACAGGAACATAATAATAGAAGAATTGATCGCGTTCAGTCTAATATCAAATCAAAGAAAGAAAAACAAAATAGTCAACAATCTTTACTTGAAGCCAGGTTTAAAAAACGTTATAATGAACAACAGCGAAAAGAACATGAGGATTCGTTAAAATTCTTTCAGGTAAAATATTACTGCTTTAGCCCATCAGGTCATTCGTTCAAGTTGATCTTAATCATTGTGGGGTGGGGGTTGCATGGTCGAATGGTTGGCACGCGAGTGCTGTATCATACGGTCTGTCATTGAGTCAACTGGCAGGGTTTCGATTCCTAGGTTGTACGTGACAAGGAGTGGGGTCGCCTGTCCAACCTCGTGGGTTTTCTCTGAGTCCTCCGGTTTCCTCCCACTGCTAAAGACCCCTACGCGCAAGCGAATTATTGAAATAAATATGACCCATGTGTTAGTCCCAAAATGACCTTGTTTGTGTCGAGTGGATGTTAAACCCCATTTCTCTTTCTTAATCATTGATGCTATTTCGCTCATGTCTTACGCTATTTTCCAAACGTCCGACCAGGAATATGCCCAATCGCACATCAAGATATGGTGAATAATATTCAAAATTCCAAAATATATTGACTGTACTGAGTGTATCTACTACCCATCCCGATTATCTTTTGTTAATTGGCTGGATTGGTCATATGGTCTGTAATTTAGTCAAGTGTTTTGGTTTTGGTCCACACATTTAAACATATCAATGAATATGATCACTAGTCTGAGGCTTTAGGGGGGGTGGATGGCTGAATGGTTAGCATGTGCGTGCTGTATCATACGGCCTGTCATTGAGTCAACTGGCGTGGTTTCGAATCCCCGGTTGTACGTGACAAGGAGTAGGGTCGCCTGTCCAATCTCGTGGGTTTTCTCCGGGTCCTGCGGTTTCCTCCCACTGCTAAAGACCCCTACGCACAAGCGAATTATTGAAATAACATTTTTAAAAAAACATATGTTTGTCCCGAAATGGCCTAGTTTGTGTCAAGTGGATGTTAAACCCCATTTCTCTTTCTCTCTCTGAGGCTTTAGATCATGTGGTCTGTAATTAACCCTTAACCGGTCAACGTCATTTTGACGTCATGATGTCAAGTGGTCAAGCTTAATAAAGGTAAAAGTGAAATATTTTGTATGCCTATTTCAATCGACTACTGCCGGATAATTTTAAGTGATAGACTCTTGACACCAATAAAAAAATTGAAGGGGATAAGTTGATCTATAATTTGCAAATCATTCTAAATCCTTTTCATCGGAAATATCGTCTTCAGAATCGCTGTCATCGATATAATCTGAGTCGGAATCATTCATAAGCATTTCAACCACTTTGAGAGTCTTTAACCTTCCCGACGTCGTTAAATTACGTTTTTTGTCAAAAAATGTTAAACAAAGACATGTTTTTCTCAATGCCCTTGACAAGACAAGTTCCTGTCTGACACATATGCGTGGCGATATCAATTAAATACGAAACTAAATACTCTTACTGTATAACGTTGTGGTGATTATAGTTGACAATGACCCGGTTAAGGGTTAACTCAAGCGGTTTAGTTTCGATTGAATACTTTTATACACAACAAGGAATAGGATCTCCAGTTTGGGGCGTTATATCATGTGGACTGTAATTTAGTCAAGCCGTTTGGTTTGAATTTTTAGATCATGTGGCGGGAGGTTGGGTGGTCTAGTGATTTAACACGTGCGCATGTGAAATGACAAGGTCTGTCATTAAGGAGTAGAGTCGCCTGTCCAACCTCGTGGGTTTTCTTTGGATCCTCCGGTTTGATCCGGCAGCTACACAGATCTACCAGCCTGTCCAACCTGTCCAAATGAAATGAAATGGTGTTTAACGTCCTACTGTTCTGCTCCGAACTCTGCTAATGAAGACGGACATAGTCCAAACAGTGTGCTATTATGGAAATTTTTGCCTGGAAAGCGGCACTACTGCCTACTCTTATATCGAATTCCAACTGTCAGGGGATCTTTTACGTGCACGCCAATGTGTACATGGGACCTTTGTTTTTTGTCCCATCCAAAAAACTAGACAGCTGTCCTTGTCAGGTCCTCTGCCCTGCATCACTGACGAGGGGAAACCACGCTAGAAAATCTGGATGAACTTTCTCGGCCAATGCAGGGATCGAACACCCGACCTCCTACCTGCTCCTTTCCTGTATATTTAATTTCTATGTGTTTTTCTTTGATTTTAGAAAATGGTATCTAAGGATGATGAGATTGAACAGAATTTATATAATAAAGTTCGAACCTCGGAATATAACCGACAAAAACAGGAGCAAATAGTCCGTCGTTATGAACTTAATCTAGCAGAACTAAAGAGGAAAAATGCGGAGAAACTAAAAGATGAAATAATAGAAAGAAATTTACAAGAAAAGGAACTTGAACAAAAAATACAGAGAGAAAAAGCAGAGTTAGACAAGGTAAACTCAACTCATTTTGCAAATAACTCATTTTCCTAATAACTCATTTTCCAAATACATCATTTTCCAAATAACTCATTTTCTTTGACATAGTTGCGTTTCGTTTAAGGATTCATTATTCAAGAGCTGAATCTGCCTATTGCATGTCTTTCTTTAGGTCATAAATGTTATAATGCACTATTAGTTACGACATGAACTTGCCAAGACCATAATCAACCTTCGATGCCATCGTATCCTCAAGATTTTCAACGGAATTAAACAAGATTGACGGTTAATGATTTAATTAAAAATTGATATTTTAGACTTTGTTTGCTACGTAACAAAGGTAGCAATGACAGAATGAAGTAATTTCACAGAAATTTTTAGCATATTCCCTTTACATTAGTGGTCTAATGAGTGAATGTGAAACCATGAGGTCTGTCATTGAGTCGAGTGGCATGGTTTCGATTCCCCATTGGTACATGACAAGGGATAGGGTCGCCTGTCCAACCTTGTGGGTTGTCTCCCGGTCCTCCTTTTACCTCCCACTACTAAAGACCCCTATGTATAGGCAAATTATAGAAATGAAATAAAATTGAATTGAATAGACATTAAACCCTCTCTCTCTCTCTCTCATTGGGAGAGGATGGAAGCCATGGCGAGGAAAAATCTTTTGTCCTTTGAAAAACATTAAAAACTGCGGTTCCATCATGTAGGCTATTCCATGGGCCAAACTTTAAAAATCTCTTACAGGTTGGAAATCGAAATAACCTAAGGACTAAATAAATTTGCATGTATGTCTTTTTTTTTCAGTATCATTTTAAGAAAGAAGAGAGTTATGCACGGCTTCAGAAACATCGTCAGAACTGTCAGGAAGATAAATATTTATTGATTGAACATGAGAAGGAACATAATCGTCTGATGAGAATTGGTGCTAGAACTGACAGTATCACTGTTTAGAATTGATGGTTTCGCTGTTTAGAATTAATGGTATTGCTGTTTAGAACTGATGTTTCGCTGTTTCGAACTAATGTTATCGCTGTTTAGAATTAATGTTTCAAACTGATGTTACCGCTGTTTAATATTGATGGTATTGCTGTTTAAAACTGATGATTTCACTGTTTAGAATTGATGGTTTCGCTGTTTAGAACTGATATTTTCGCTGTTTAGAACTGATGGTTTCGCTATTTAAAACTATATGGCATTGCTGTTTAAAACTATATGGTATTGCTGTTTAAAACTATATGGTATCGCGGGGGGTTGGATGGCTGAATGGTTAGCGTGCGCGCTGTATCATAAAGCCTGTCATTGAGTTAACTGGTGTGGTTTCGAATCCCCGGTTGTACATGGCAAGGAGTAGGGTCACCTGTCCAACCTCGTGGATTTTCTCCGGGTCCTCCGGTTTCCTCCCACTGCTAAAGACCCCTACGCGCAAGCGAATTATTGAAATAAAATTAAACCATATGTTAGTCCCGAAATGACCTAATTTGTGTCGAGTGGACGTTAAACCCCATTTCTCTCTCTCTCTATATGGTATCGCTGTTTAATACTTATAGTATCACTGTTTAAAAGTAATGGTATCACTTTCAAATTATAAACAAAAGAAAGATGATACTGATCAGTGATAACTATAAAATAAAAAATTCCTTCATCCTTGTCTGAGGCTCCAACGTTTCTTACTTTATCTGCTTGCGACATATATAAATTAGATTTCTATGGGATTATAAACAATAGAAACTGCCCAATAAAATAGAATACTGAACACTGTTAAATAAAAATAAATCCCTTCAAATCAACACTTTACTGATAAGATAAAAATCTTTGCTGGAGTTCCAACCTCGTGGGTTTTCTCCGGGTCCTCCGGTTTCCTCCCACTGCTAAAGACCCCTACGCGCAAGCGAATTATTGAAATAAAATTAAAACCATATGTTAGTCCCGAAATGACCTAGTTTGTGTCGAGTGGACGTTAAACCCCATTTCTCTCTCTCTCTCTCTTTGCTGGAGTCAGACCAGACCAGTAGGATGTTAAACCCCATTTCATTTCTTTGCCTGAGGCTTCAACATATTATACTTTATCTAGTTGCATATTTATATGAATTATATTTCTATGAGATTATTTATTTGATTTCTAATTTATGATAAAATAACATGGATATTAAATTATTTTAAAATTGTTGCCAAATTTGAGGGATTTATTAATACAAGGCATGTTTCGATTTTCAGTTTCCAGTGCTCTTGTTTTCACAGTATTCTTTTATTCCAGCACATTTGCCCGTTTATTCCTATCTTTTTATCTAATCAAAAACAAGTTATTATTGCTCAAAATATATTTGTTATGTTTTGATTAAAAGTTTATCTTTTGAATTATTTATAGATTTTTAGATATATGTTTTTATTTTGTATGACAATTATTGACTTTTTTTTATCTATATAATGCTTGGAGTGATAATTTTAGCACAAACTATGTATTGTTGGATTATCAGTTGCAATGTAGGTCTTTATTCATAATGAGGGTGAATAAATACTAGGCCTATATTCATAAAGAGAATGAATAAATACTAGGCCTATATTCATAAAGAGAATGAATAAATACTAGGCCTGTATTCATAAAGAGAATGAATAAATACTAGGCCTATATTCATAAAAAAAAAAAACATGGTTAAATTCCAAATTGCCAAAGTTATCAAAGGTGGTATCTATATGTAACACCCATCTTAAACATAGTGTTTCCCTTAGTACGACTTCTATCTATGCGACTTTGTCTCCAGAACTAAATTAATTTATCTTTGAACTTGAACTTGCCATGAATCAGCATTGATCTATAACATTATATAACATTATTTAATCAATTGTAACTGCAATAGATACATTGTAAATGAACAGAGCCTTTGCTTGCATGGCGAAGTTAGGCAATTGTCAGTGATAGCTATCCAGGGTGGAAGCCAAAGTTAGGCCTCAGTTAGATTAGAAGTAGTTCTTATTCTAGTCGCTATTAGTATCACTACACTATATGTAAGTTTCACACAAACAGTTCCATATAGGAGCCAGTTGTAATTTAATAGCTTGCATATTACTATTACCTTCCTCCAGGGCTTGAAATTAACTCTTTTTTCAAATAGATCAGAGGACATATTTTACAAGATATTTGCTAGTCCTCTATGAATTTCTTTAGTCTTCAATGCCTACTAAGAGTACTCAATTAGTAGCCTATTTTATGTTCAGTTTCTGACCTAAATCAAGAAACAAAATTTTGGAGAACAAATTGTTGTTTGGTGGGAGAAACTGTGACAATATAATTGTGTGTTTCAGTCAATGAAAGAGGAAGTTTCTCTAGTTTTTCGAGCTAGTTAAGACATCAATATTACCAATATCAATATTATGCCATTAGCAAAACCACAATTTATCTACAATATAACTCAAATTGGAAACAAAAATTAAGCCTAATGAGAAAAAATATAAAAATCCACAATCCTGCTGTTAATTTCGAGCCCAGCTTTTCCAAACTAATAATGTAAATATATCTACACCTATTTCTATCTGACTGATAATGTTATAGCTTTTAATTAAAGTTTATATATTATTAATTATATATTATTAAATCTGTGATATTTTATTGTATAAATGATATTGTAGTCCAAAAATTATATTTGGAGCTAGTTTATTTTGTACCATGTGTGTATAAGAAATATTTTATAAATTAATTATTATATAGCCAGATCTATATTCTAGATTTTGTTGATATTATGTTACAGGTATTTGTTTGTTTAAAATGTTCTTATTAAACTTTTAACTTATTTTGATCCAGGTCTTTATTTTATTGTGGATGATAGTGGAAATTGTGAAGTTGTGGATGAGAGTGGAGATTGTGGGTGAGAGTGGAGTTGTGGGTGAGAGTGGAGTTGTGGATGAGAGTGAAGATTGTGGATGAGAGTGGAGATTGTGGATGAGAGTTAATTTGCAGGTGAGAGTGGAGTTGTGGATGAGATTGGAGTTGCGGATGAGAGTGGAGTTGCGGATGAGAGTGGAGATTGTGGAGTTGTTTGAGAGTGGAGATTGTGGAGTTGTTTGATGAGAGTGAAAATTGTGGATGAAAGTGGAGATTGTGGATGAGAGCAGAGATTGTGGAGTTGCAGATGAGAGTGAAAATTGTGGAGGTATGGATGACAGTGGAGTTGTGGATGAGAGTAGAAATTGTGAAGTTTTGGATGAGAGTTGTTGATAAATGTGGAGATTGTGGATGAGAGTGGAGATGGAGGGTTCTTCTGAAATATGTATGGATGGAGGTGAGGAAGAAAGAGAAATAGAAAAGTGGGGTTTAACGTCCACTCGACACACTTTAGATCATTTCAGGACTAACATGGTTCAATTTTATTTCAATAATTAACTTGGGTACAGGGAGAATCGGAGGACCTGGGAAAGCACCCTACAAGGTTATACAGGTGACACTACTCCCTGTCAGTTACCAGTGTGGAAGCGAACCACGCCTCTTGAGTCAATGACAGACCTTATGATCCATTCGTCCCCTCCCCACCCCAGATGAGGATCAATTATATGCCCCCAGACAGCAAGGTCATCAGTTTCAGCTCTAAAATCAAAAATGAATTTCATGTTAACAAATCTCGGCTAGCAAGTTTTTAAAACTTCCAACCGGGATTTTGATAATTTCATGAAGACACTCTGATTTGTAAATCCCTGTTTCAGCTATTTTCGATGGTCATTGTAAAATGAACATGCTCCAGGATATCTATTACTCTAAGTAACATACATAGTAAGATGTCATTACGCATGGTATATACTCTTCAAAGAAAAAGTAGGGGATATTCAGAAACAATACAAAACTACGGAAATGCACAGCTGTTTTTATTAGAGGTAACCAGTGTATGTTAATAACAGGCCAATTACCTACACATGAACATAAACAGTTCATATGGGCGGCTTATCTGACGGCCCCATTTCACCGTCAAAAGTAAAAAAAGGACATTTTTGACTTTTGTCTTAATGAGTAATTGTTCCACCAATCCTCAGACATTCAGCAATTCATCGTGGCATGCTCCTAATCAACCGTCCAATCACGATTTGGGGCAATCGGACCCACTTCTCTTGCAGTGCCAGGGCCAAGTCTTGCAGTGTTGTCGGTTGACGAACACGTCTCCCGAGTCAATTAAACGTAACACACTAAAGCAAAGATACGCTAAACAGTAAATCTTATGCAAGAACCGATAGGAAAGCAAACATGGATAGATAAACCAGCACGCGCCAGTTTTCATCAACCCTTCCTCGAAGTGTCAAATTTGACATGCGTGTCGCATGTGCAGCTTAGTGGTTCTGTTGAGGCGATAAGTTCTTCATCTGTGAACATACTCTCAAAGCATTTGAATGAGACGAAAAACTGAGGTCCATGGATACATCGGCCTGCATGTAAAAGACCACTTTGCAGTTGGAATTCGATATCAGAGTTGGCCGTAGCGCCGCTAGCTGGCTGTGCAAAATATTCCTAATAACACAGTCGGAGCAGAACAGAAGCCTATAGGACGTCAAATTCCAACAACCCCCATTCCCACCCCCTCCTTCACTCCAATTTAATGACAAGGCCCCACAAGTTGGAAACAATCTTGAAAAATCTAAAAATTCTTCCTTAATAGGAGAAAAAATCTAAAAAGAAATTTGTTTCATGCATTTTTTTTATTAATGGAATAACTGAGCATAAATGACAAATAATAAATATCACAATAAGGCCATAAATAAAATGGTAATTTTTTGATTTTAGCGCATGATAAAAAAAAGGGGGGGGGGGGGTGACAATACTGAACGAATATATTATGTAATAGCTAAATCTGTGTATTGTAGGTCTTATTTTGGCTTCAAATGTTATATAAACTATTATTTAAACATAATCGGTCTACAGATATTTACATGGATTCGAACGCCCACGACATTTAAAAATTAAAAAATAAAATGGATAACCGAGACTTAGTCTCGTTTGCCCAGTACTGCTGCTACGATAATAAACAATCAAAACTCCAAAACCATGTGATAAGGCGCGGACATCCAGTTTCATTCCGAGCGTGAACTTCTTGGTCACGTGTTGTGTTAATTAATGTCTAATTAATAATTGATATAACATTTAAGGCCTAGAGAAAGGCATGCAATGGACAGTATATGTCTTCTTTAATATATGTATGTAATATAATATCATAAAATGTATCATATATATTTATGCTGACATACGCCCTATATTGAACATCATACATCAAATACATCAACATTGTGTTATAATTATAAAGAGTATCTTACAATGATATAAAAATATAAAAGTTTAATGATATAAGTATTTGTATTGCTAGGGGGTCTTTTTCGACAGGCGTCGCCCTCACCAAGAAGATCAACAAGCGCCTAAAGTTCGTTGTCCAGAAGTTCATCGGGATTTTCCGACGTGGTTTCCCTTGTTAGTGATGCAGGGCGGAGTGACTGACAAGGAGAGCTTGGAAGTCTAATAGGAATGCTCGGGATTGAAAAGACTCTTCCGTGCGTCATCGTCTTCGCCATTGCCCTCGTCTTTTGATGAATAGTTGCCCAAACTGGCTTTGCTATTGGCCTGAAAGATATAGATATATAGCAATATGTTTATTGTTCAAATTTTCACATAAACGTACAAATATAAGCATCAAAAACGTATCCGATATCCCCTACCTATCCTATACCCCCACCTTGCGCCCCCTTCTCTTCTACACCAAACTATTAAAGCTTGAAATTAATTCCCGGACACAAGCTACCTAAACAATTTAAATGAGAGAGAGAGAGTGGGGGGGGGGGCAAAGAGGTTGGACGCGTACAACCGGGAAATCGAAACCACGCCAGTTGACTTAATGACAGACCTTATGATGCAGCGCAAACACACTAATCATTCGGCCATGCATGCACCCCCCCCCCACCTCACCCCAATTTAAATGAAATGATGTTTAATGTCCTACAGTTCTGCCCCGACTGGGCTAATCAAGACGGGCATACGCCTACGCCATACACTATGAAGGACATTTTCCCGACCTACTCATATATCGAATTCCAACTGCCAAGGAATCTTTTACGTGCACACCAATGTGTACACGGGATCTCCGTTTTGCGTCCTATCCGAACGACTATACGCGTGTGCCTTATCAGGCCATCTATCCTGCACGCACTGACAAGGGGGAACTACACTGAAAAATTCTGAAGTTTCTCGGCCAACGCAGGGATCGAAACATAGGACCTTCATGTTAACGGGCCACTATGCCCCCACCCCCCCAAAAAAAATTAAAGATACATTATGGGAGATTCGATAACGAGTTGGCAGTTCTCACTATAATAATTAAAAACTAGATAATGTAAAGGCAATTTGCTGAAAATTTCATTCAAATTGATCCACTATGAACCGAGAACTAAGCGAATGAAATTTCTGCCTAGCCTCGGTCATCGATTATCCATTTAATCGTTTAATCGAGAAGGAAAGTTATGCAGTAAATCGGCTCACAATCCACTTAAGATCGCAGGCTAGCGATGCCATGTAGGGTTGATTATGGTCTGGATAAGTTAATTAATGTCTAATTAATAATTGAGATAACATTTCAGGCCTAAAGAAAGACCTGCAATAGACAGATTTAACTCTTGCATAATGTATGTTTAACTAAAACACTGATCAAAATCATCAATGACGTGAATAACTTGGAATCTATTGATTCCAGCACTCCGCCTGTTTCCAAGTCTACAGAATAATCACAATTTGGACATTTTCTCTAGGGAAGCAAGATCGTGTGTATGCAGTTTATCATGGAAGGCGCGAGGGTGAGGCGGGGGGGGGGCAAAAAGTAATGTTAGTAGACACTTACTTTGACACGTTTGATAAATTCCTGTTGGGCAGCAGCAACCTTTTCGTCTTTACCGCCCCAAATCTTCATCACCGTGGCTTGTAGAGCTCTTCCAAAGGTGAAAGTTAGAGACCACGGTTTATTAACACCAGGGTGTTTGTTAATAGAGTTCAGATAAGTTGTAGCATCTATCTCCGACAGACCTCCAGATAGAAACGTTATACCTGAAAAATACAATTAATCGTTCAGCCATTGACATGGTTGGGTTCGTTTTATAGTAAGTTTGATCGTTCGTGGGGTTTAATGTCCGCTTTCACCAAGGGTAATATCGCAGACAACTGTTTCCTAAGAAACTTTCCAGAGAAGCGATATAATAGGCTTAGACTAGCAAGTGTAGGAGACGTGAGATTGATAGGGAGGTCTATTCGATTCCGTTTTACTTAAAGATACATTATGCAAGATTAGATAAAGAGCTGTCAGTTCTCACTATAATAGTTAAAAACTAGATAATATAAGGGGCATATGCTGACAATTTCAGTCAAATTGCTTCACTCTCTAAGCCAAAAAAACCTTATTTTAAAACCAATGTAGCCTCGATCTACCACAGTCACGATAATTTACAAAGTCTTGTTTATCCATTTTTGCGGTTAATCATCAATGGGCGTTGGACAGCAGATTGGATTCAAATCCAATGAAAACCGGACACATACGATGGCATCGAGAGTTGATTAAGGTCTTTTCATGTTACTAAATGTCTAATTAATAGGTTATATAACATTCCGGGTCCTGCATAATGTACGTGTAAATAAAAACACATTTAGTAAGTTTGATAAATGCGGTTCGTTTTTATACAAAATAATTCACAGGTGAGAGAGACGTCATCACCCCAAGATGTAGATCATGTCACTGGACCGAGGAAACTGCTCTACACGAACATCTCTTATTTGACTACGCATATTCCAAAATAAACATTATTTTATGAGGTAAGCTTAACCTCCAGTTTCAACCCCAAACCCATGACCCGGCACTGTACCATGATCATTACGGTCAGTAACTTCCTCACAAACCTAAATGATTTTTTTTTTCTTTTCAACCTATACTGAGAGCAGAGCGAGGAATACGTATTGTGAAAAAAGTGAACTGATAATAGAGACTTTTGGCAAGCCGAATTTGTTCCACCCGTATCACGTATCATCACTCGGCAAACCTCGGCAGATCCAGACCCTAGATGTAGAGTACCTGAATCCGCCGAGGTTAGCCGAGTGACGCATCGTGGGACATATTCCGGGAGCCAAAAGCCTCTAGTATCGGTATCCCTATCCATAGCATAGCATATCATTGTGAATATCAATTGTTGAATTGGATTTTGATTTTATAGACTCTTGTTACCACGAGAAGTGAAATCATATTATGTCATATTGGTATAAATCATTTATTAACCTGGTATAGCCGGGGGTATTGTTCTGGTTAAAACTTCAATTGTTGCTTCAGCTACTTGTTCGGGTGTACACACGGTTTCACAAGCATGACCGGGTCTGATCATACTACACTTTAACAACATTCCTTCCAGTAATACTCCATGATCTAACAGTGCTTTCACCTGGGCTGATAAAACCTGTCATAAACATCAAACCATAGATAATACCAAAATATCGGGGATTTAAATCACTGAATGTATCACAAGAGGGTTGCTGTCTAGGTCGATTATCGATGAGAGTTCGATCCCGTGCGTGTATATGTTCAGAAGATTATTATTATGATTAAATGTATGACAGAGAGAAGATAAATATACATTATAACTTATAGCACCTGAAGACGCCCCGAGAGAGAGAGACTCAGAGAGAGAGAGAGAGAGAGAGGGGGAGAGTTGGGTTTTAACGCCCACTCGACACAAACTAGGTCATTTCGGGACTAACACATGGTTCATTTTATTTCAATAATTCGCTTGCGCGTAGGGGCCTTTAGCAGTGGGAGGAAACCGGAGTACCCGGAGAAAACCCACGAGGTTGGACAGGCGACCTTACTTCTTGTCACGTACAACCGGGGATTCGAAACCACGCTTATGATACAGAGCAGACAGCTAGTTTATGATTTGATGAATATCAGAATGAAGTAATGTGTTTGATTTTTTACCTGGACGTATTTTTTAAATTTAATTATGCATTTATCTACTGTAAATATAGAAACACTTGTACTTTATCTACTTTTAAGTAGCCGAGTATCATCTACAGTCTTCGACATTGCAAACACGGCTTATTGGTCAATTTATATCAACATTGATGTTGTTATCTTACCGTAAAAAGGTGGGCTTATAGTATCCAATATTTAAGACACAATGAAAATTTTAAACTTGGTACATGAATCGGGTGCCATATATACATTCATATTACATTATTATAGGCGTTGTGACGCATTTGTGTCGATATCTAGGTGCCACAGAATAGTGATTTAGTTCCTTTAATATATAAATAGATATATGTATTTTAAAAATGTATGTATTTTACCTTGATAGACGTTAATTTAGCTCTCTCCAAATCATGATCACCATCACATAATACTTCTGGCTCAACAATAGGTACTAAACCATTCTATATAAAATAAATGTATAAATGCTTATTAAAGATGCAATGCAATTATATAAGATTTGGCTAAAGAGCTTGTCGCTCTTGCTATATATATAGTTCAGAAATAGATCATTCAATATTAGTATATTGAAAAATTCCTTCAAATTACTTTATTCTGAGCGAAGTTTTGACATAGATTGTTTATTATCGTAGCAACGTTACTTGTTAATCGACACGCAGCCTCGCTTCTCCATTTCTAAAATCAAATTATTAAATTTCGATCGTATTTTAAACCGTTTCCACCTGCACCCTCTGGTCGTCTAGAGATTTGATTTTAGGCTTGTCATGTGAAAAAATGTCTAAATAAAAATTTAGAAGTCAAATTAAAGACCTGTAATAGGCAGAATTTGTAGTCTGTTTATGGACATTCAGACTTGGTTTGGAGTTGGTGGTTTTTCATTCACTGATATCAAATTTTAATCAAATTTTAGTTAATTGTTCTCTGGGTACAAATTTATCTTTTGGACATCCCAGAACAGTCCAGAAAGCGAAAAGGTTAAAGTGTGTTCATACAATGATCTCACGCGGACATTTGAAATCAAATATCTTTTATGCGATGGAGATAGAAGCCCCTACAACGCGATGACCAGTCTGGGTGATAAAGAATCCTAATTGTGGTGGAGATGACATAAACAGTTTTAATTAATACTACCAAATATTGGACAATGTCCGATGTGTTTGAACCCGGCAACGCGATGGCATGCCTGATAATCAATCCCACTTGTGGTGGAGATGACATATATAATTTAAATTAACAAAAACAAAATTGGAAACTTTACGGTATGTTTGAACCTGACGTACCTGTTGGCATATAATAGCGTATCTAGCTAATAGTGTTGTATTTGTTTCTATAGCTAGCTGTGAGGGTGTCTGTTCGCCTATTTTAAAAACACACCTCCATTTAGCGAACTTGGCACCCATAACTTTGTACATACGACACCTTTCTGGTAAATCATCCAATCCTATAAAATATAATGCTAAGTGCAGGAGGACCACACTGCATGCAAACAAAATCGATAAGAAATAAAATAAAATGGGGTTTAACGTCCTACTCACCTGCTTCGACTGGGCTAATGAAGACGGCATACGCCATACAGTGTGCTATGAGGGAAATTTTGCCCGGACAGCGGCACTACGGCCTACTCTTATATCGAATTCAAACTGTCAAGGGATCTTTTACGTGCACGCCAATGTGTACACGGGACCTCGGTTTTTCGTCCCACCCATCTAGCAGGTTATTATTTAGTTGCTTTTAGAACGTGTTCTGTGTTCTGTCAAGTTAGGGTGGTTGGATGGCCGAATGGTTAGCAGGTGCGCGCTGTATCATAAGGTCTGTCCTTGAGTAAACTGGCGTGGTCTCGATTCCCCGGTTGTACGTGACAAGCAGTAGGGTCACATGTCCAACCTCGTGGGTTTTCTCCGGGTCCTCCGGTTTCCTACCACAACTAAATACCCCTACGCGCAAGCGAATTATCGAAATGAAATTGAAACATCCGTTAGTCTCGAAATGACCTAGTTTGTGTCGAGTGGACGTTAACCCCCCCCCCACCCCCCCCCCCCCCCCCGTGTCAAGCTACGTTACGTTACGTTATTTCGAACATTAACATAACTCTAGATTACCTTTAGTAGTCTTTTCCCCTTGGCTGCCTGCAAGATCTGTAATTCCAAGATCCAATTTTATTCCTGGTAAAATATTAAGATGATCCAGAAGTTTCAGGAAGGGGGTGCCGTCTTTGGTTTTCTCCACAAAGGTCTGTTCCAAGAAGATTACTCCTGATATACAGTTACCTAGGCTACAGTCAGACGTGAACAATATTTCCAGATGCCGACGACGATTTTCTGGTGTGTCAGCCACCGCCTCAGACTCCTTGAAAAAACTTCCTAAAATACCTTATAAACATGGGGAAAAATATGTTAGAGAGTGCACGTTGTAACGTGGTAAAAACAAAATGCCACGTTTGTCTGGAGTAGCACAACGTATTTTTTTTAAAATTGCCATGTTTTTGGAACGAGGTAATTTGACCAAAACGAGGCTGTTCACAGGGTTGTATACATGATTTTTCAAAAGAGTTAGAGGTGGGGGGGGGCAGCCAAACCATAGTTTCGTCGAGCGTATCGAGGACAGCATAACATTTTTTGGTGACACTTTCAAGCGATTATGTAGAGAGAAAAACACAAGGCAAAGTCGACTAGAAATGACATTCGTTGCACAAAAGCGTTTGTTACATTCTTTGTTGCAGTTTCATATGTTCACACATTATTTCCATCAAAGAGATGTGAGAAATGAAAAACAGCCAAGTTCTTTGTTGCAGTTTCATATGTTCACACAATATTTCCAAAAAAGAGATGCTAGAAATGAAAAACAGCCAAGTTCAAAGCGGAGCGAACTCAATAATTGTTTTTTAGGCCTTTGAATATTATTAATTACAAATATGCTGTTCCTTTTTTTATATAATAAACGATATTATATTTAATATATCTCATGAAATTTTATGTAATTGGCACTCAGTTGTATGTATAAAAATTGCAAAAGCAATTAAATTAAAATCCATCGTAAAATGAAATAGACACAATTTATGTTTATATAATGACATGCAAAGCGGGGCGATGCGAACAACTATATTAAAAATGATATTTACATTTACATCCTTCAGGTGACCAGCCTACGTCTGGATTCTTATATAAAGGGTCGATCTAGACTATATTTTGGAGAATAAAACTGTGTAATTTTGTGTTAAAAGCCATTAAAATATTCTACCTTTGGACCGAGCAACTAACTCAATATACATGATACGTTTTCATCGTAAACCCCTCGTTTATTATATAAAAACAGGAACAGTATATTTGGTTTGGCTGAACCCCACCACCAACCCTTTTGAAAAATCGTGTATCCAACCTTGTGATCAGCCTCGTTCTGGACAAAATACCTCGTTCCAAAAACATTGCAATTAAAAAATAAAATACGTTTTGGAACTCCAGACAAACGTGGCATTTTGTTTTTACTACGTTACAAATTGGCAAAATTATGGCAAATCTAACTTTCACAATTCACTTCGTAGTTTGCAACGGATTCAAAATCACTCAATTGGCGATGAGGGGCTTTAATATGGAACGGCCAGTGTACCATATCACGTGGAAGATATTAACAGAACAGTCCATGTGTTTTAATATGGAACAGACTATGGTAATGTATTACGTGGAAGATACGGAACAGTCTATGTGCTTTAAAACTTACCTGTGGGTTCATCAACAGGTAAGATACCTTTACCACGTACCACCAGGTATTTAGCGGTGTTTATTAATTCTTTTTGTAGTTTACTAAACGCCATTTTCTGAAATTTCATCAAATATTTATGTCCACTTTAAATCGAAGAGCGTAAGAAATTACCATGCTTTTATCAAATGGAAATTCACCAAATAATGAAACCCCTGAAAACTAATCGGCGACACGGTGCCTCTTTGTCGCTTACGGGATCCGCTGTGGCTTAGTGCGTAAGACGCTGCCTCGCTAGCATATGTCTCGGATTCACTCCCGGTGTTTCTCCGAGACAGTTCCTTGGGATTTCCCGGTACGATTACCTTTGTCAGTAGTGTAGGACGAATGGCCTCACAATTACAGCTGTCTTGCCGTTCGGATGAGACGAAAAACAGAGGTCCCGTTTGCACATTGGCGTGGACGTAAAAGAACCCTTGGTAGTTGGAATTCGATATAATATTAGAGTAGGCTGTTATAGCCCCGCTGTCCGAGCAAAAATTTCCTCATAGCACACTGCATGACGTATGCCCGTCTTCATTAGCCCAGTTGGAGCAGACAGTATAGGAAGTTAAACCCCATTTCATTTCTGTACAAGTTTGGAAAAACTCCCATCAAGGCTTCGGTGTGAAGCACGCAACGCAAACTCTAAATATACTTGGACCCCTCAAAAAAGAGAGAGAGAGAGACAGACAGAAATGGGGTTTAACGTCCACTCGACACAAACTAGGTCATTTCGGGACTAACATATATGGTTTAATTTAATTTACATAATTCGCTTGCGCGTAGGGGTCTTTAGCAGTGGGAGGAAACCTGAGGACCCGGAGAAAACCTACGAGGTTGGACAGGCAACCCTACTCCTTGCCACGTACAACCGGGGATTCGAAACCACGCCAGTCGACTCAATGACAGACTTTATGATACAAAAAAAATAAAAAAAAATTTACACATAGACATGGGCGTCACACATGGGGGCTCTGAATATACTTGCCCCCCCCCCTCCAAATTTGCATAGTAGGCCCTAACTCCTATTTATTTACAACAATTATTAGGATTAGTTAAAATTCTATCTGTATAAAACAATGTACAAATTAAAACACAAACACTTATGTTTACTTTTTGAAATCCATTATAATACACAAAATGTACAAAATACTTTAAATATCTATACAACTTTCTTGTAAATGTCAATGTGTATGTATATGTAGTATTGTGGTTAACAAGGTGATTGTCAAATACGCATCCTCATAAAAAATCCCCTACTAAACTCTCTTTGTTGTGTTGTTCATTACTCAAGCGTAACATTCAATATGTAATAGTCATGACAAAAATCTGAATACGGCACATCCTGATAAACATTGTATTGGTGTGATGTTTTAGTTTAACCCCGTAAAATATGCCAAAACAGTGTTTACAGAAGACTGAAACTTTAATTTTTTTATGGGGGTGCCCCCCCCCCCCCCCCAGCCTCGTGCCTCCGGCGTCAAAGATTGTCAACATTTTATATAATTTCATTTGCGGACCAACCCCCCCCCCCCAATATATATTTCACGCCCACCCTTCTGCACATAGAGTTGAGAAAACATTTTAAAAACCATATTTAAAAGGAAAAACAAATAAGTCATAGCTCTTTGGAAAATAACAACACAAATAAAATGGGGTATTAAAAAGCATAAATGAAGAATTCGCAACATGTACTTTGAATAAGGAAATTGAATGCCGTTGATTTTTCGAAGTATGTAGTATACGGGGAAATAACTCCGACAAAACAAAATTGAAGATTATGCGTGTGAAAGGAGAGAGAGAGAGAGAAATGGGGTTTAACGTCCACTCGACACAAACTAGGTCATTTCGGGACTAACATATGGTTTAATTTTATTTCAATGTCTAATCCCAATTCCCAACCCTAACCCTGGACCTAGCCCTAACCCTAGCCTACAATCTCGCCACCAATCACGTGCCCTAACCTTATTTAGGGCTTACATCTCAGCGACCATGACGAAATCTTGAGTTGGCCTTAACAAATAGATCTAGCCTTTAAAATCTCACTTTTCTGCACCGAAAACAGTAATGAAAACGAGATTACTCTTGCAATAAACCATATGTTTTGGCGGCATTGTTTGAATAATGTATGTAATATTATTGTTTTAGTACATTGTTATTCTATTATTATCATTATATAATTTAACCGTTGTAACTGGATACTTTTCGGATAACATTAATTTTATTTATCTTTAATCGATTTTAAACCTACAACAGACAACACTGCCCACGCACACAACTTGTCTAACAAAACAACAAAAACAGTCCCTAACAACCCCGTTGTGTTATACATGTTTGGCTTCGTGTATTGTAATAAAAATCCGTCGATCGTCTTCTGTAGTTCTCGCAAATCAATAAATCCACTTTACGTTACAGGCTATTGTTCATTTCTTAGTATTTTCATTTTACGAAGAAACTTAGCTTTCTAATAACCCAGATGGGTTTCAGTTTTGATTTAAAACCAAGACTTCAAGGTCTCTTAATCATTTGATATGGTTATTTTAAAACGTGTCCAATGTGTGTGTGGGGGGGGGGGGGGTATTACCCGGAAAACGTCGTTTCCCCTCGCCCTTTTTCGAATGCCCTCGTTCCGGCGGTGGAACGAAATGTCTGTATTATTAGTAGTCGTAAATGCTATTACCGATGTCTGGCTGTTCCATTTGCCTCCCCAAATCTCCCAAACCAAGCAAATAAGAATAAGAACCCAATACGCATTACTAAATTGTATCAAATTACAATCTAATATCGTCAAGTAACAACACATTATACTATAAAAAGCCTAGGGCCAAAATCATTTCCTTTGCATTGCATTCGAAAAATTAGCCCCCGAAGAATCACTACTTCTCTAGGCTATACTATTCATTTCCCAGAAATGTTTATTTACGAAGAAAAGAAGCTTTATATTTCATTCGAAATTACAGAATGTTAATGTCAGATTGACCGTAACACCGCCTTCCTTATGGTAGCTGTCAGCAAGAAATCAATCTCTCAGGCTAGTAAAACATATAATACAAAAAGGTGGGGGGGGGGTCGAATGGTTAGCGCTTGCGCTTTGTATTATAAGGTCTGTAATTACCTTAACTGGCGTAGTTTCGATTCCCCAGTTGTACGTGACAAGGACTAGGGTCGTCTGTCCAACCTTGTGGGTTTTCTCTGGGTTCTCCAGTTTCCTCCCCCTGGTAAAGACCCCTACGCACAAGCGAATTATTAAAATAAAATTAAACCATGGCATAATGTTAGTCCCAAAATGACTTAGTTTGTGTCGAGTGGTTCAATTTTATTTCAATTATTCACTTGCGCGTAGAGGTCTTTAGCAGTGAGAGGAAACCGGAGGACCCGGCGAAACGCACAAGGTTGGAAGGCGACCCTACGCCTAGACACGTACAAACGGGAAATCTAACCCACGCCACTTGCCTCAATGACAGACCCTATGCTCTAACGCACATGCGTTAAACCATTCGACCACCAAACCACCTAATAGTTGGCAGGACGGGAACCAAAACAACAACAATTTGATTTCATTGAAATTTATGTTTTTCCTTAATTTTCAAACAGAAAAAAGAATATATTTTATTTTATTGATTGATTCAAATTTAAATTTCACTAATTGATTCAAATTTAAATTTCACTAATTGATTCTAATTTAAATTTCACTAATTGATTCTAATTTCAATTTTACTGTGATAAAATTTTTTATTCAAATTTAAATTTTACTTACATGAATAATTATTTATTCCAAATTAAATTTTACTTTATAAATAATAATTTATTTAAATTTAACTTTTTTTTTATAAATAAAAATTTATTTAAATTTAAATTGTACATTTATAAATAATAATTGATCCATATTTTTATTTTACTTCAATGAATAATAATTGATTCAAAAATTAAATTTTACTTCAATAGATTTTACTTTGATAAATAAGATTTAAATATACATTGATATAATTTATTTAAAATTAAATTTTGCTTTTATCAATAATAATTGATTCAAATTTATATTTTTATTTAAATAAATTTTACTTTGATAGAATAAAATCATAATTGATTAAAATCGAAATTTTACAGTGATAAAATAAATAATAATTGAACCAAATTTATATTTTACTACAATAGATAATGGTTTAATCTTTCACTTATAAAGAAATATCCATGTATAGTGTATTATATTTGCTACAATGAAAATAACGGGCGAACAAAATAAACTTTACTACTTACCACGGTAAATTTCACTTCTCTAATGACAGCTGATCGGGTCTGACGAGTATATCAGATAGGTATGACATAATTGTACAGGGAAATATATGCTATATATAGGCATGAATATATACTGCGCATTGGGGTGTGTTTTTCTCTTAAAAAAAAAAACATTACAAATCTGCTCATTAAAATTTCGGGATAATGATAATACTAAACATTATTCATTAAATATTTATACCATTTTCTTGGAATATGATTCCTTTACTAAACTGTTATAAATAATGTACACATACAAATGCATATATTTTAATGGTTTTGCATTCGCTTTCGACTGAATTCCTTGTTTCTTTTAATTAGACGGGGTGAAAATATCAGGAAAATCCAAGGTAAATTTTAACTAGTGTTTGTCCTGTGATTTCCATGAAAATAATTTATAAAATCCAATAATAATTTTATATAAAATACTTGTTCGTTTTTCACCTTTGTTTATGTGTGTGTGTGTGTGTGTAAGGGGGGGGGCATCTAGAAAATGAAATGAAATGAAATGGGGTTTAACGCCCTACTGTTCTGCTCCTAAACTGGGCTAATGAAGACGGACATTCGCCATACAGTGTTCTATGAGGGAAATTTTGCCCGGGCAGCGGTGCTACGGCCTACTCTTATATCGAATTCCAATTGGCAAGGGATCTTTTACGTGCACGTCAATGTGTTTTTTCGTCCCATCCGAACGACTAGACAGCGGCCCTTGACAGGCCCTCCGTCCTGCAACACTGACAAGGGGAAACCACGCTGGAAAATCTGGATGAACTTTCTCGGCCTATGCAGGGATCGAACACCCGACCTCCAGGCTAGCGAGCCAGCGTCTTACCCACTTAGCCACGTGATCCCCCAGGGCATCTAGGAATGTGCTATGGGGAAGGGATTGATTGGGTGAAGATCCTGACATAAAGACCGAAGAGTGTTTGCATGCTTCAGGATAAAATTTGAGCAATTGGGAGTTGATATCAGAGAGAGAGAGAGAGAGAGAGAGAGAGAGAGAGAGAGATGGGGTTTAACGTCCACAAACTAGGTCATTTCAGGACTAACATATTTTTTGATTTTATTTCAATAATTCGCTTAGCAGTGGGAGGAAACTGGAGGACCCGGAGAAAACCTACGAGGTTGGACGGGCGACCCAACTCCTTGTCACGTACAATAGGGGATTCGAAACCACGCCAGTTGACACTCAATGACAGGCCTTATGATACAGCACGCACGTGCTAACCATTCGGTCACCCCCCCCCCCCCCCCGAGTTGATATCAAATGATTATTAGTAATGTTCTGTATTAAATTTATTATAGTTACATATTATTATAGTTAAATATTTAATACAACGTATAAAAATGAAATGTTAATATGAACGATCATTTCCTTATTTAGTGTTTCAGTTTCGGTTTCAGTTATTTTTCTTTCCCGGAAATTTACCTATACGTGTGTATACATTCGTATTTAACGCATATATATAATGACACAACTACGTGACAACCCATTGACAGATCAATAATTACGTAATCTTGCTCACGCGAGTTGACTTGACCTTTAATTTGGTAAATATTAAAGATGCATTATGGGAGATAAGATAAAGAGATGGCAGTTCTCGCTATAATAGTTAAAAACTAGATAGTGTAAAGGTAATTTGCTGAAAATTTCAGTCAAATTGATCCACCATAAGCCGAGATAGAAGCTCGTGAAATTTTGGCATAGCCTCGGTCATCATTATACTAAAATCATTAATATAAACAGCAAGTCTCGATTATCCGCTTTTCTTGATTTAATTATCAACGGCCGTTAGCGGCAAATATGAATTAAATCCAGCCAACATCGAAGGCTAGCCTTGACATCGAGAGTTTATTATGGTCTGGATAAGTTAATTAATGTCTATTTGATAATTTAGATAACATTTCAGGCCTAAAGAAAGACTTGTAATAAGCAGATTTTGCTCTTGCATAATGCATGTTTAAGTGACGCGAGTAGTACACCAGGCAGGATATGATTACCCATTGGTAAACATCTGATAACACTTATAATAAGGATTTAACAGATTCGTCCCAGGTTCATTTTAGCGTAGAATTAAATGTTTTAGTGAATAGAACAGTTTATGACAGCTGAAGTACAGCCTGGTTATATACACATCTGATCAAAACACAGATTCTTTATTTCGTTTCGTTTTTATAGTTCAAAATTTGCTTTTAAGTCATCGAAAGTATTAAAAAAAAACGAAACGAAATATAAATCCATATTTTAATGAGATTGATCTGGGCCCTGTTTCTCGAAATCTTAACTAAAGATAACCTCCAAATTTTAGTAGATACTTCAATTTTGATTGGCCAAGCACTAAAATCAATCTAATATTATCCAATCAAATTACTAAAATTTGGATTTTATCTTAGTTAAAATTTCGTGAAACAGGCCCCTGGTTTATAACATGGTCTATAGGCCGTGATATGGTTGTCGCGTTTAGCAACCCACCCTTTTACAAGTAAACAATTATTTGAGTTACCATAGCTCGTTAACAGGGTCCTCACAGGCCTATGTGGCGCCCCAGGGCAAAAGTTCCAGCCCGAACTGTAACTGCTTTTTCAGTGCCTGCGATCAGTTGATTAATTAAAGAAATTAACCAATTTAAATAATTGTGTGCGAACAAACAAGGTAGGAAAATCTGGATTTAAACAAGGGGGTTGGGGACATGGGGGGGGGGGGGGCTTGAAGGCTAGCTCCCGGATCTGTTCACTTGATCTGATATATACGTTTGGTGTTTGCTGGGTATATTATGTCCTGTCCGTAGGTTTGTCTTGAGTAGACAGCCGCGGTGGTTCGGTGAGTCGTTGACTCGCTAACCTAGGAGATTCCGTGCTTCCTCCCGGTGTTGACCGAGAAAATTCATCGGGATTTTGTCAGCGATACAGGGAAGGGGGCCTAGAAAGGGACAACGTATATAGTCGTTCGAATGGGACGAAAAACCGAGATCGCGTGCACACATTGGCGTACACGTAAAAGAACGCTTAGTAGTTTGAATTCGATATAAGAGTTGGCCAAAGCGCCTCTGCCCGGGCAAAAATGTCCCTCATAGGACATTGCAGGTGTATACCCGTCTCCATTATCCCAGTCGGAGCAGAACTGTAGAACGCTAAACCCCATTTCATTTCATTTTATTTTATTTTATTTTCAGTATTTAACAAATTATACTAGAAACGACGAAGTAAGAAATGTCATATTATGTATCATATACTTAAACCCACGTTATCCGATATAATTTATAACGCATTGCCATAGTAATCTACTGTATTATTCTACATGTATAAAACCATGGCTCAGGTAGTCGAGCGGTAAGGGATTTGGCACGCCCACTTACCATCCAATCGTTGGAATGGAAAAACCGAGATATTATTTGTTTAATACTAACGATCAGATTTGACACAGTCATGTTTTAAAATATTTTGAACCTTGCTTTCGAGTTATACTCGCTTTAAGGAGAAAACGATTAACATATTCTGGGAAATTAAACCATACCTTGAAATGGGATTGTATGACGTAATCTGATTGACAGTTCTTGGAAAATGTACACGGCGTTAAACGCTATGGACGACCAAGCAGCTCTTTATTTAGTGTTCTTAATTTTTAGTTCTTAATTCCTAGTCCTTAAATCTTATTTCTTCATTTGTTGTGGTATTTCGACACTTGTACACCAAAATTAACATTTGTATCGTAAAATCAATATTTGTTTTACAAATTAGACATTTGTCATATCAGATTTGTAATACATGTATGTATTTTTGTTTAATTTAATTTTATTTCAATATAAAGACAAAATTTATTTTAGTAAATCCAAAAAATAATCTTCATAATTTACATTTCATCATAGACTTACAACGGAAAACAAATTTCGAACAATTGCTACTTCTAAAGGGTCCACAATCTAAAAACGTGATTTTTCGTTCAATCACGGTCCATAATCCAGAAAGTTAAGGTCCGATAAGCGCAAATCGGAAATAAATTGTGACCTCCCAGCCGTACCACGCGATAGACCACGGTCAGGATAGTTCAAAGATGGGTGAAAAGGCTGATACGTGTGTAGATTTGTCTGAAAAACATAATGTTGCCGATTGCTAATGCGTTGTTTACACCATGGACCGTATATTTCAGGGTCCATGGTAACACCTGGAAGTTAGAGAACGAGGGTTAGGGTATGGTTTATTAAAAACTTTGATTTTTATGAATTTGATGAATTTGACAGAATAAGATCCTTTTATTCGAATGAATATAGGCCCACGACAAAAAACTTTGTGAAATGATCCATGTTACCACACTGATCCGCAGTGAATATTTGCTTGGCCGCGACAATCACTGATAAGGTAGGGTGACCCACCATAAATAAATATCTCCATATATCTCGACAATTTCGCCACAATATTTATATATATGCCAAGCCTCAAATCAGTTTCACACAATTATAGTCACTAAATAAACGATCATGTTGTACTTAATAAGCTATGACCATTAATCATCTATAAATAATAGACTGAAAACTGGTTCCATGTGTCGTCCATAACATCCAGACACTTTTGAGTGAAAGATAGGTTACGTGCCCTTGTTTTGAAATTAGTCTCGCTTAACCAGTCTATCGACCATTCTAGGGCTGATTGACAGGTCGGGATAATCAAGACTACTTTTTTACGAAACATAACAGAAAGCTAGAACAAGAAATTGAAGTTAGAAATGAGCACGTTAGCTAGCTCAACAATTGTTTTAAGAAGCTTGTAAAAGTAAAATGAAACTACTGCAAGTATCATGTTCCTGTCTAACCCGAGTGTTTCTGAGATATTATTTGTACTAAACCAAAAGATGCCGCTCTTAACGGTACAGTTAATGATAAAGCGATTTAAAAAATGAAACGAACGTAATTTCTAAATCTGCTGTAATAACCAAGAAGCTTAATTTTACTGCTATTCAAAATCGTCAACAATAATTTTTTTACGGCTGTAATAGTTGATAGATTTGTAGAGAATTGCACGTGCCATGGCTATT